CAATAAAGATGATACCAGGTACATAGTTTAAACATTACATGTACAACAAATATATTTAAAATAAATATTTAATATATATATTTTGTTATGATATATTTGTATAAAGTTGTCCTTAGTTTGTTTGAATGTCCTCATTGTGTTCTTAAAACTAATATATACATATATATAAATTGATGTTTTATTTCAAACAACTCCATTTAGAAGATTATTTAGACAAATATATAGAATATATAAGCTATTTAAAACCAAACAGAAAATATTCTTAGAAGCGCTAATTAAATGAAAAATCTGTTCAGATCTGAGAATGTAATATCCTTGTATTAATTCTATTAACTTAGGAAAGAACGTATTCCATATATACCTATATACATATATTATATGTGTATATATAAATGTATCTTGACCATGAAGAAGAAGTCATAGTTAGTCGTTAAAAAGCTTCTTCTTCGTACCGTTTGACGTCATAAATTAAAATTTAATTCGTTAGTCATATATATAGAAAATAGTTAAAATCCTTGAAATATAACACAATATAAAATTTATAAGTAGGAAATATATTCTCTCAAAACATTTACCGAATTCTATATCCGATATAAAAATTATTCTAGATAAATAAATTGTTTCTTTTTATGCATAAATAATAATTGTTTGAATTTAATTACAAGCTTTACTTTACTATATTCTAATAATCATATAGATTACTTATATATTATATCATATTCTAATGCTGTTTCTGGCAGAATCTGGTAACAGCTGGTGCTGTAAAAACCAGATTGACCTGGGTTTATACACAGAATCCAGGTTACGAGGTCGTCATACAAGTATTCTTACATGATGTGGATAATTTTAAACATATTTAATAATTGGTGTGTTCTTAAAATGAGTAATTACTTGTTAGCCTTGACAGATGCACGAAGCTCTTAATATATATACTGTATATATTAGTGTATTTTTGTTTAAAATAATAATTTTTTTTTTGGAAGATAAATGGATAGAGATCTTGGAGGCATGCAGGTTAAAGGTCCGCCTCTAATGCATGAGGGCGCGGGTTCGAAATCTGGCAAGTACCAATAAATTTTTTCTTAGTCGTATATACTGTCTAGTATATAGTATTTAGTATATAGTATTTAGACACCACTGATAGATGAAGGAAAACATCGTGAGGAAACCTGGACTTATAATTTCAAGTTATAAGTTTGAAATCACCAACCCGTCTTGAGCAAGCGTGGTGATTAATGCTCAAACCTACTCCATGTGAGAAGAGGCTGCTCAGCAGTGGGCGCTGATAGGCTGATGATGATGATGAAGTGGGTATCCAACACAAGGATTTTACATTGACCTTCAAACAAAAACTACACGTATGTTTTAGATTATAGACTGGGGAATGAAAAGGTGTGTTTCAAGTTATTGTCAAATATATTCAGCTTCCTATAATAATCATTAAATTACTCTATTCTTTTTATCCAATCCTAAATCATAAGACAAAGATATTCCTAACTTTTTATTTACCTACTCGCTATTAAATCTCCTAATAAATTACTCGAATATATATTGCGAATTTAATCTTCTTCTTCTTCCTGGCAATTTCCCAGTTTTAGCCCAGGTCTGCCTATATTGAGAATTTAATCTCTATATACAATTTTTTAAGTTTTTCAATATGTTTATATTTAAATAGACAGACGTAGGCAACACCAATTTATAATATATACTATTTAATATTTTTCTTAATAACACCTCAAAAACAACGAACTTACTGAATAATTTACAAAGTTAATTCTAACTTTTATTACATACTAGAAGACCTGGCGAACTTCGTATCGCCCTATAATCAAGAAATATCTATTACGTTTTTTTTATTTATATTTTTGGAGTTTACTTGTAAGCCATAAATCTCCGTGTTTTGAAGTGCGACAGAATGATTGACATATTAGTTAGTTGTGAAATCTAATGTCAAAAAAACACGTTTGTATGGGAATTAAAAAAGGGCTGTTTTTATGGTTTTCCCAGTAATGAATCAATTTTTTTCAGCTTTTATACCTTCCCTGAACCTTCACGAACATTTCAAGACTAAGATAAGATAAATCCGTTCAGCTGTTCTCGAGTTTTAGCGAGACTAAGGAACAGCAATCCATTTTTATATATATAGAAGATAAAAAACTTACAATATGAAAACCGTACCTTAAAAACATCACTTAGTAACGGATGTAATTATTTAGGTGGTTGGTTTTAATCTGATAATATATTTATATATATAAATCACTTGTACGTCTGTGCGTTAGATACGGAAGACGTCTTGGTCTGCGAAGCATGACTACAAGAATTAATGGTTCTTGTGTCGGAATTGTTGTCAGAAAAAAAAAAATATATATATATATATATATATGTATAATGTATAATTTCACTAAGCTAGAAACTAAATATAAGTAATTAATTAATTATTATTGGATTTACAATCTTTACAACTATTACATACTGGCTGCGCCCCGCTGTGTTACCCGCAGATTTACGAGATTTCCGAGATTTCCGGGATGTAAAGTGTCCTATGTGTTATTCCTGGACGTCAGCTTCTTGTATACAAAATTTTATCAAAATCGGTTCAGCCGTTTGAGCGTGAAGAAGTAACAAACATACACACACACACTCACAAACTTTCGCAATTATAATATTAGTAGGATACTAAATTGTGAGGAAACATGACAGAGAGTGGTGGTTAATGCTCAAATCTTCTCCATGTGAGAAGAGGCCTTTCAGCAGTGGGCTCTGATAGGCTGATGATGAGATCCTATATATAACGGATACTAATCTAGATTTCAAAATCTATAATAGATTAAGTTATGCATGCATTGACCCACACAGAAAACACAGAATTAACTGTGCAGACGCACAAACATTGCACAATCTTTTCATAAACAATTTATGAGTGAACCAAATAATTTAACTTCATTTATCCGGGTTAAATGTTTCATAGATGTACAAATATGATTGTACAAGTGCTTAATTGTACATAAGAATTCGTGTACATTAACTAAAAAATTTAGGACACAAATATTCATATTGAGGCGTCTTCAATTAGAAATTTAAATACATATGACATTTATAAAACTAGTTCCAAAACTAGATTTGTCCATGCACTTTATTGATCTAGACTAGATGTGTTGATGCATGTCATTAATCTAGATATGTTCATGCATATTAATTAATTATGCTTTTCAATAAATATAAAATTTAGTATATATGTAAATAGGTTACATATTTTTTTTACAAGGATATTAGTAGTATGTGCGGAATTTATAATATATATTTTATATATAAATAAAAAACAATATAATAATTGCATTGATAAAATTAATATTGTAATATTAAATTTAAGGTATATATATGCCACTCGTTCTAATTAAAATAAAAGTACAATCACATACAAAAACGTCTTTTTTAACTTAACTAACTAAAAGAAAATTAATTCTGTATTAGGTACACTATAAAACTTGGTATTCTCTAAGAATACTTAAAATATACATATTTTTATTATTAAAAATGCTTTTTAATAAAGGTCTTGTATAATAATCTTCTATACAAAGATTTTCTAAGCTTGACATTAATACAATTAGTTATTATAACATATGTTTAAAATCATTGTTTCTCAAAGTTTATGTTCGAGCAACCCTGGCTTTAATACTAAGCAAGATTTTCTAAGCCCGATATTAATATAGTTATGTTATAGATATGTTTTTAATCATTGTTTCTTAATATATAAGTTTGAGAATCTCTGGTTTTAACCGATCTGTATAACATATGAAAGTAGTTCACATTGCGTCACCCGAGTCTCGACCTGTTCGTGTAGTGATGTCAGCTTAGATAATGATTTGTAAGGATACTTATATAACAGATTTAAACGATTTCTGTTACCTGGCAATCGCCCAGCTTCAGCCAGGGTCCGCCTTAGATGTTGTGAATAGTTTTGGCTAATTGTTTTTACGCCCGCCGCCTGCCTGACATTAACTCTCTTTGGGAATGCATTAATCAGTGAGGTCTAAATATAGAAAATAATTTATAAATTTTATAAGATGGAATACTGTTTTTTAAAAACTATTTTGGTCAGATTATAATGAGTACAACCATGATTGTTTAATTATGTAATCTATATATATACAGGGTGTCTGGTGAATTACTATCGATATTTGAGGACGTGATATTTGACGATCATATATGACAAAATAAAAATTAATATAACATAAATATTAATAAACTTCTAAGTAAAGTTAACCAAAAGTTATGTAATTAATTACGCATCGTGTGAACACCATACAGATTAGGTATACACACACACGCGCGCGCGGCGTGGTGTTGTATCAGCACGCCGCCGCACGCGTCCACACTTGGAACACTTGGAACGTGTACACACTTTATTAATTTATACGGAAATTTGGTCAAAAATTAAGTACCTATTTTTTTTACATAATTCGAATGAGAATCATGTACCGAGTATGCTCCTTAAATATTAGAACATAGAAAGGACATAGGATATTTAAGTCTGTTCGATCGAAATAGAAAAAATACCTAACAAAGCATATTATCTGGTTATTTATGGCATCTAAATCAAAACAGTTTACCCGGTCAGCTATCTACGCTAGTAAGCTACAAAAGCTAGTATTCTATATATATTTGTTCTGTTTCATGTACAAGTTAATTTGAATAAAAGTATTATGTATTTAAGAAACATAAAAATGTCAAGATTCACGAATGTTTGTAATCTTAAAAGTGTATTTTTTTTATAAAAAATACAAATAATTATCATAGAAATAGTGAAAATTAAATAAATTTCTTAATCAAAAATATAGGTGTTTAATATTGATATTGATTTTGTATCAGTTATCTCAATAATATATTTAATTATCGTGCTTATTATTATTAAATATAAAATAAAATTTTATATGTTAATTATAATATATGTATATGTATGTTTTAGTCTAATTTTGTTTTTGTTTTGTTTCAGACTGAAAATGTGGAGTATTCTTCTTATAGCAGCTCTATTCGCGACCGCGCGGTCCAAACAGATACCGCCGCACACGGGTAAGTAATAAACCGATTTATCGACCAACCAGTCGACCAATCAGTTGAGCAACTGGTCAATAGATCGATAAATCAATATAATGTATAGTGTAATGCGTTTTGATCATTCACTATTGCTTTTGAAATGTCCGTTTCAATAAATATTTAATTAATTTTTATGGACACAATTTTCAAATATAAAATAAACTTTATTTTTATCGTAATAAAGTATATATTACTGTAATACAAATTAATGCTATTTCATTTAACTGTACACATCATTATTGTCATACATTTTAATATCAACACGTCCGTACTTACAATTCTAATAAATATATCAAGTTATACATAAATTACATTGCCAGTATTCAGCCGGTGTGACTAATGGCATAATAATGGTATACACTTCGAACCCAACTGACAGATATTTAAAAAAAAAACATAACAAAAAAAGGTCTATATGTAATGTGAAACCTCTTTGGTAATAAACGTCAAAATTTCGATAATCATCTGTCAACTGTCACTTATGTGATATGTCACTGTGTATTCGGTTGGAATTTTAATATGTTTTTTTACGTAAGTGTTGTAATAGTTATGTTATAAATGTGGTGTTATGTCCAAAAGTACTTACTGCTAACTGTCCCGGGGTGGACGACCGGGTCAATGAACTCCGGCGATGCATCCTTAAGTTATCCTCGCAATCTTTTACTCGTTTGTATAGATTTGCTTCTTTTATTCGATAGAGATTAATGTATGAATAGTTATTGCATTCTTTTAAACATACTAACATTAAAAATACTGGCAACTAAACGAAATCTATTTATATACAAACTTTTTTAAATCAAAAACTTTTTCGAAGTTTAATACTTGATCAACGCCTGTTATAATTTTATTCATACTTTTGACAATTTTAAATTATTTTAAATATCTTAAGCCTCTACAATTACGTATAATCAAATGATACAAATACAGGAAAAAAAATTCGAGAATAATTTGCAATTTTCTTTATAATAATTTTGCTTAGCTACCAAAATAAAAATAGTATATAATATATGTATATCAAAATTCTATGTAGTTTGACTAGAATACTATGTAACAATTGTATTTTCTGTAAAGACATATCAAACACGATAGATGGCCATTTAGTTACTATATCTATTTTTATACTTAAATAATTTATCTTTGAATCCAGATTATATAAGAGCATTATATACTTTGTGTACATATAAAGTAAATAAAGTATATGCAACTTTTTTGTGAGAATAATCAAATAATATTAGTGAACAAAAAACAGTAATTATGTTTTTATTTCGCATACCTATATGAAAAACTTTAATATTTTTTTGATATACATATATATTTGAATGCATGAAGCCTCAGTTGAAGGTTGTATATTATAACAGGATGTAAGAAGATGGTGTTAATTATTTGAGTTAGAAATGCTATGATTCAATATACATTGGTTCACTCTCTAATTGGTGAAGCTTACAAAGAAATTTGTTAACACAAGCATTGGATAAATCATGCTTTATAAAATGTAATAATTATTATTTAATGTATGAGGATATATTACTATCAAACAAGAAACAAGCTAAAAGATAATACAAATTAAAAGATAAAAGATAATACAAATTAAAAGATAATACAAATCAAGAAACAAGCTAAAAGATAATACAAATATTAAAAGATTCTTAAAGAACATAAGTGGTTATTTACTTAAATATATTTAACCACCTCTATATGTATAGTATTAAGACTCCCAGATTATCTATACTACTACTTAATTTCAATCATTATTAGTTTATTTCGCATAAGATACATACTTAAAAACATACATTTTTATAGTCTCCAAAATATTACTTAAACGTATAAAAATAACTTTTCATTAACGATAATTAGCTTATAACGTTCTATAAATCAATATAAATAATGTAAATGAAACTAATATTTTCAACATTGTCTGTCCGTGATCACGGTTTCAATGTAACCCAAACTTCGGGAGTATGTAGTTTAAAATAATAAAAAAACACGAAGTTATCCGAAAATATTACTTTCATTTCAACATTGATAATATTCGTGCATAATATTTGTAGTGTATGTATCTATAGATATAATACACAGTCTCACGTACCCTATAGAGGGGGCGGCATGCGCTCGGCAGACTAACGACTAGCGTGGGACAGAACGGGGACGTGAGTCGCTCTAGGCGGGGTAGTGAGACAGTGACTAGTTATTCTTACATGTAGGACCTACAATGTTAAAGAATATCTATATATTAGTTCCATATTAAAGAATATTCGGGAGTTTTATCTCATTGATCTAAATGGTTCTTCATTATCTGGTCTCCAGAACTGGTCACCACAACTGTAGCCACAGCCACTGAGCTATCAGAATGGCCGGCGGCTCTCGCGCCACTGGACACCTTGACGGTCACCTGCGAGAAAGAGAACATGCATGTAGCCATCTCGCTCGCACACACACGACATCCCAACAGGTGAGTTAGGTTAGGTTGGGTTACCTTATGGAAACTAGTAAACTACCCACATTGTGTTCTGTGATTTCTTCGATAGTTTTAATAAAGTTTTTTTTTTATATTGAAATTATCTTATTTGAACTCAGAAGCATTATCAAACTAAATATTTATTTACTATTATTAATTTACAATATTTCATATATAAATCTTCGAAGTATATTTGTTTCGTTTCGCTAATATAATTTGAAAGGTTTTATATTGTGTATGTACTTTAGTTATTTATTTACTATATCTAAATAAATCATTATATGTATAATATAATAAAGAATGAAAAATTATACCAGCTGGGTTCGAACCTACAACATGTTTTATCTACTTTACCATCAAAACTATCGGGACTCGTTTTTCTTTTATCCTGGAGATTGCGTTCCTACCCACACACTCCAGTCGATAAATTTTAATATTAAAATACTTTTATATTATCTAGTATGTAAAATATTAATTAATCCATTACTCTAAGGACGCTGATCTAGACGCAGGTATAATTTTATTAATATCAAGGCGATCATGTTCTCAATGATACATTCATATTATTTTTGCTTTCAACCAACACATGATACAAAGATAATAAGAGACAGCATTCTAAAACATACATTATATATACAGGGTGACTGGTGAATTACTATCAATATTTAAGGAGAATACTCTGTACATGATTCTCATTCGAATTATGTAAAAAAAAATAGGCACTTTATTTTTGACCAAATTTCCGTATAAATAAATAAAGTGTGGACACGTTCCAAGTGCTCCAAGTGTGGACGCGTGCGGCGGCGTGCTGATACAACACCACGCCGCAGAAGGTGTGTGTGTGTGTGTGTGTGTGTGAGTATACCTAATCTGTAGGGTGTTCATACGATGCGTAATTAATTACATAACTTTTGGTTAACTTTACTTAGAAGTTCATTAATATTTATGTTATATTAATTTTTATTTTGTCATATATGATCGTCAAATATCACGTCCTCAAATATCGATAGTAATTCACCAGTCACCCTGTATATGTATATGTATATGTATATATTAAACTAACTTTTATATGATAATAGACTCTGGAATGAATATAAAAGTGTCTGACTAATTCCATCTGTTCATCATAAGACTGTACACAGTATTACCTGAATAGGATAAATTCTTGCATAAACGTGTAACAAATAATGATTTTATTCAATCCCTGTATATTTAAATTGAAATAAAAAGGTCGTATATATAGGCTTTTCTCCAAAAGTGTTACGTATTGCATAACCCTGCAATACCTGCAAGATAAAATTTTAAATGCTACTCATGTATGATCCGAAAAAGGCCTGACCTACATTTGACCTCTGTTTTAATTATGTAACCTCCTTGCAGTATTTACGATACTTTCAACGGTATCGTATACCCAGCGGGTCTTGGCAGTAATTCAACGTGTCTCAGAGAGTACGTCTCAGCTAGAGGCGACCTCCAATACACCCTCCCACTAAAAGGATGCAACACAATGAGCACTGATAATGTGAGTATAATAAAAATTATTATTATGTTGGCTGAATGGCGAAAATCTTTGCCGACGAAACTTTAAAAAAAAACACACACAAATTAGCGCGAACGGAAAAAACATGGCGGCGATTTAATTCACTTCAATTATATATATTAAAATGTTTTTAATATAGAAAGCATTTGTTGTAAAGAAAAAAATATGTTTTTCTTATAAATAAAATACTACATTGATGTTTACTTACATCACCGTATAAGAAATCAGGTTTAAAATTCCTGCATACTTAACGATACAGGAATGTCAGCCATTGGAGGATATAAAAGAGAAATAAAATTATATTATACATTGAATGTACACACAGGAATCTTATTTAACAAATCATGTAGAATAATTCGTCATGACTAAGTTTTACCCGTGATTTTGTCTGTTTTAATATTGCTTCAATGAAAATTATATGAACGCAATATATTATAAAATGTGTGTGTGTGTGTGTGTGTGTGTGTGTGTGTGTGTGTGTGTGTGTGTGTATGGTATAAATATGCAAACATATAAAAAGTACTTAAGTTCAAACCCTGACAAGTACCAATGTGATTTTTCCGAGTCATATGTACTTTCTAATAGTATTTAGACATCACTGACAGATGAAGGAAAACATCGTGAGGAAACATGGACTTATAATTACACAATTATAACTTTGAAATCACCAACCCGTTAAGCAAGCGTGGTGATTAATGCTCAAACCTTCTCCATGTGAGAAGAGGCTCAGCAGTGGGCTCTGATAGGCTGATAGGCAGGCATAAAAATTACTTACATTTATTAAATAATAATATATTATATCTTTCGTCGAATTTACTTACACTACTTCGGTAGCTAATTAATTATTCGACTCGGGTTCGTCCCGTCGCACGAAATAACATGCATGCAGGTTGATTTCATAATTATTTTGATATGAAACTCTAACGGTGTAATTTACATATATATTACTATAAAATTAAAGATCCTTATTATCTTATTAAACAATATTTTACGGCTAAACTATGTGATAAAATATTTTATATTTAAACTTTCCCCAAATTCAATTATTTCAATTAAATGAAATTATCAAATTACTAAATGAGATGAAAATATTCTTTATTTATTAATAATTATAGGCTTTTAATACAAAATATGTTTTATATGTGAAATGCGATATAATCGTATTGCTATTATATTATTACTATGTGTATATATTTTATCAAGAAATAAAACTTAATAAAATCTTTTTAAATTCAATTATATTTTTTATTTGTCTTAATTTCAACTTAAAAGTAATTACTTGTTTGTTTTAGTCATTTTAAAATTTCCGCACTTAAAGTTGTACTACATTTTTTACACTTCCTTCCAAAACAATTAGAATTAACTATTAAAAAAACTACTTTAAAATGTCTGTGTGTCACAGATTCTAAAGTAATACGCAATAATTAATCATTCATTAAAATTAATTCCATACAAAAACCATTTTAATGAATAAAATATTAAATATATTTAATATTTTATACGAAAAAATATTCTGTATATTATATTGATATATATTATTTGTTTTATTATTGTTTTAATAATATGTACATAATTAAATTGGTTTATTTGTCAATCTGTTAACACTATTATATTTAAAATAATCACGTATTGAACATTTTACTTTATTAGAATTCAAAAAAATAATTTGTCAAAATATTTTTTTAACTAAGGCGTGATTCACTGGAATCGTGGAATATTTTACCAATATCAATTGACAAGATCTTAGAAAATTGTTGAGAAATAATTGATAGTTACTCCTTGGTATAATCAATAATATTTCAGAAAAAAAGCTTTGTAGTCACTTACGTATAATAAATTAAAATCTTTTGAACTTCCAGTGCGAATCAAGCCATAAGTATTTAATAAAAAACAATCCTTTTGAAGGCTATTAAATATTAAAGAATTTTAATTTCTTTTTCAAACATATCTTTATTTACGAATAACCTCTTCAAAAGGCTGTAATATATATATATATATATATATATATATATATATATATATATATATATATATTTAAAACTAACTTTTATATGGTAATAGACGCTGGAATGAATATAAAAATGTCTGACTAATTCCATTTGATCATCATAAGATTGTACACAGCATTACCTTAATAGGATAAATTCTTGCATAAACGTGAAACAAATAATGATTTTCTTTAATCATTATGAAACACAATAAAATATTTTCTATATATAAAAGAAAGTCGTGTTAATTACACTATTTATAACTCAAGAACGACTGTACGGGTTGATGGAAATTGGTGGAGAGATAGATTAGAACAAGGAGACGGACATAGGATATATAATTCTTTTCGATTGAAACTGACAAAAATACTTAACAAATTCCATTATCTGGTTATTTATTTCCTCTAGGTCGGAATAGAGTTCGCCCGGTCTGCTATACATATATTATTAATTCTGAAATTAACGCGGACGAAGTCACACGTAAAAACTAGCTTACAAAATAAGGTTTTAAATGTATATATTCCTTTAAAAAAAGGAATATATACGTTTAAGAGTATTTAGACATCACTGATTAATGTTGTTTCCCAAAAAGAGTGTTGATGTCAGGCAGGCGGCCGGTCGTAAAAACAAAAAGCCAAAAACTATTCACATCATGTAAGGCAGACCCTGGCTATAGCTGGGAAATTGCCAGGTAGAAGATATTCCTTTAAAAAAACCTCTAAAGATCTAAAAAGTGTATGTAATTGTTGAACAAGTTATAAAGGTCCATTCTTTTAAACCAGTCTTATCTGAGTTCATTGTTCCACACATCAGTAATTGCGTAGAACCAGCTTAACTTGAGATATGCATCTAGTATTTATTATAATTAACATCTTACTTTACAAGTCGACTTAAAAATATATATACTACCTGGCAATTTCCCAGATTTAGCCAGGGTCTGCCTTACATGTTTATAGTTTTGGCTAACTGTTTTTATGGCCGCCTGCCTGACATCAACCCTCTTTGGTAATGCATTAATCAGTGATGTCTAAATACTCTTAGAAAGTACATATGACTCGGAAAAATTACATTGGTACTTGCCAAGATCGAACCCGCGCCCTCGTGCATGAGACCTTTATATATATATATGGTAATTTCAAAGTATTGAAGCTCTTCCATATTTATATTTATATCATTTTTTGTTAATTTTAATAGAGATTTTATAGAGTATTCTTATGTTTTGATATATAAAGAAAAATTTCATTCAAATAATCAGAACTAATTTTTACTATAGTCGTTTTGTACTATTAAAAGTATTATACAAACATTTTTTACATAATTTTAAAATTATTTAAATCTGTATATACATATATATTAAAATTTATTTTATATCTAAACATACTTGTATATTTTCTTAAACAAACAAAATATCTCTAGATATTCGTATTACTTTGAGAAATATTAAGAAAGATTGGTAAAAATATATATACATACATTTCTTATTATTACTATAAAAATATTTAAAGTATATCATTTTATTTTAAATCATTCTTAATGATAATTATATATATAAGAGAAATATATAAAAAATATTATTATTTATTCACGACTAAATAATAGTATACATATAATTAATCAATATATTCTCTATAGAACAGTTTTAACTGTAGCTTTTTATAAAATACTAGTTTTTGCCCGCGACTTCGTCCGCGGTAATTTCGTTATTAGTAATACATATATGTATAGCTGACCGGGCGGACTGTATTTCGTCTTAGAGGCCATAAATAATCAAGTTTTTCCTGTTTAAATCGAACAGCATGATTGACGTATTAGTTAGTTGTCAAATCTCATGTCAAAGAAAACGTTTGTTTGGGAAAAGGGTTGTTTTTAGGGTTATCCCGGAAATAATTAATTTTTTTTTCAGCTTTTATACCTTCCCTGAACCTCCACGAACATTTCAAGACTAAGATAAGATAAATCCGTTCAGCTGTTCTCGAGTTTTAGTGAGACTAACGAACAGCAATTCATTTTTATATATAGATTCTAAAAAATGAGTAAATGGCGCCCGGTACAGTGACCTGTCTTTAGCCTTGAAAACTGGCAGTATGAATAAGTTGGTGATCTTTTGAAATGAGGACGATTTAAAGAAAACAGTGTTTTCTCAGAAGAAATTAAATTGACAGGACCTTGAGGAATAATGCTTCAGAATAATTTGTTTTTAATGTATAATATATAGTATTAAAACAAAATAAACTATATGTAACTGAAAACTTTTATAATTATATAAAGAAATTAAATATTATTTTATAAAAATAACATTTAAAATATGTATTAAATGCTATTGAGTTTTTTGTCTCAATATATATAAGTAATTTTTTTAATACGCAATCAATTATAAAAAAAAAACCTTTGTTACAATTTTGTATTCTTCATTATATTATCTATATAGTACAAAAAATACATTTAAAATAAAAATCAAGTAAAACCTATTTAATAACTTAATTTCTCTTTAATAAACTATGATATTTCCAAATATTCACACAACTGTTATAAATTATAATACAATAATTATTATTACAATTAATAGGGTTAGGATCTTTAATACATGACAATGTCACATGACGTCACATCCGGGCCAGCTGTCGGTAGGAAACGGACACCGGTGATGTGAATAAATAAGTCCCTGGTACGATATTATCTACACCACGAAAAGGAGGTTCTCACTAAAAAGTTCTAAAGGCACATGAAATGAGAATACTATTATATAATTAAATATTTTTACGTAAGGAATGTTAAATTTTCTTCCAAACCTAAAAGAAGATAAAAAAATATGCTTAAAAAATAATATTATAAAAAGATTAACGCTTGTTTTAGTAATTTAATAAAGAATTATTAAAACTTTCTTTAAATATATAATGAGAATTGTTTATGCTTTTTCAACTTTAGAGAGCTTTGTGTAGTGTAGTCATGATACGGTCAGGCGATCCCCTAAATTAGGTATAGGATATCCCTATTTTAATGAGGCGTTATATGCCTCGAACATTCGACCGTGAAAACGTGGAATTAAAAGTAGAACTTTTAAACTTTAGTTAAATAAATTTATTCATCTATATGTTTGTACGCGTAAATATGTACAAACAAGAATAGGTCTTATATTTTAGTGTTATTTTTAGCGGTTTTTTTAGATTAGGTACACTAAAGCGTAATATTTAGAAAGCCTTTCTATATCACTGTTTAAATTGAATTTGAAATCTGAGCAAATATAAAAATACTATCTTAAATCAGAAGTAATACAAATTAAAACAGCAACTGTTTGATTTCACCAAACATTTTCTCATATAGATTCAATATACTATGATTATCGCTGCTTTAATCCTGTGTTTTCCAAAATTTAGGGTAGTTAGTTCAAAGATATTTGGGAAGCTTAAGCGAAGCCTCTATTAGAAAGTAGAAAGACGTCCAATAAATTAATTTAGTAATAATTAAAATCGTAGAAATAAATAATAATGGAAGTGAACTAAAAGATGAATAATATATTATACAAGTGAAACTTCGTAATGTAGACATGAAAATATAAAATAATTTTACTGTACTTGTATCGTTTTTAAAACAAACTTTATAAGCATTTCTTACAATTAGCGTAATCGCACATACATTGACTACCACCCATTCATCGCCCTCTATATCTTTATATTCACCATCGTCAGAAGAATTTAACATTTTAGTATTGGAAGTCCTATTAGAAATTTCACTCCAAAGACATACACTCAAAAACAAAAGAATAAACAGAATCATTAAATATTTTTTCATCTAGAAGTATCATAAAAAAAATACTCAAAAACAAAAAAAGGTCGCAAAACATTTATTATTCTTTGATCATGTTATTTGGTTAAAAAACTTTATTATGACGAATCCAATTGTTCTGTTGAGATTTATTGTTGATACTGTTGTTTCTAGGATGACGGTACTGTTGAGTATCACAACAACATAATAGTTCAGCCTCACCTTCGCTTGGTGACCGGCCAGGGTCGAGGGTATCACGTGAGATGTAGGTACAGAAGAAGAGACCTTACATTGTACCACCTGCATAGACCTCACGCGGACAGATATACTGGCTCCAGCAACGATTATAACAGGTAAAATGATAAAATATAGTCCAAATACAGTGCAATATAGTCCATTTGCAGTTCAATATAGTCCAAATATAGTGCAAAATAATACAGTGTAATTTTTGTGTATGTAAGAAATTTCGTAAGGAATTATTTAAGCAATATTTCTATGGTTCCTTGATTAGATCTTAATACAGTTTGTATGGGTTTAATCATTGCAAAAAAAAAAAACCAACAGTGCTAAATTTAAGGTATATAAGCAAAAAGATTTGTCGGTCAAAAACTTAATTCTTCTATTAAGACAATATTTTAAACAATATAATTTTTCACAAAGGAAATCGATGAATTATCTGAAACAATTTATCTTTTTATTAAGTAAGTATAACATAAAAACTACGAAAATAATTTTTGAGTTATAAAATTGTTAAGCAAAGCTACACTCAGGTTAATGCACTTGTATTTCATTCCAATATGCTTAATATGAAAGTGATAAAATGCGTTTTTTTTAAAGGGTGGTATTTTAAAGACATCATTTTTTTTATCAGATCCGTTTAAGTAATAAAATTTGTTGAACTATATATTTTATAAAAGTCAAAATTGTATAATGCATTATGCAATCATTGTAAATATACAGTATATAAAAAGAAATAAAGTTCATTACAAATACTTGTATCCTAATTGAAGATGATTTTAATAAACTTTTTGGTATGAATAATTGGTATATTTTTCGAAATTCTTTCATAATTAATATGTTTTTAGTGACGAGTATGACGAAGACTCGGGCCTGCTGCCTTCAGTCACCATGAAGATATATAAAGGAGACCCCGAAGATAAAGAGGTAGATATAATATATTAAAAGTATATATGTATATATATATTATACTAGCTTTCGTGTGGAGTTCGGTTATATCGCGTCTCCAAACGAACCTTTCAAAAGTCTGGGATAAAAACTATCCTATGTTCTTTCTCAAGGTCAACTCTATATGTACCAAATTTCATTAAAGTCAGTTCAGTGGTTTAGATATAAAGCGTAACAGACAGACAGAGTTACTTTCGCATTTATAATATTAGTAGGGATGGTTCCTGTCGATGTTTTAAGGTAATACAATACTAATGTAACCTCATATCAGGTGGCGTCTAACGTGAAAATCGGTGACACTCTAACGTTAGTGGTGTCTCTTGAGAAGCAGCGTCAGTATGGTCTCCTGGTGTCCGAGTGTACCGTACGTGACGGACTCGGCTGGGCGGAACAGAGCCTTATTGCTGACGATGGGTAAGACCTACATAACCTAACCTAACTAGGTTAAAAACCTAACTAGTTAGGGCCCATCCAAAGAGTACGTCACACATTAAAATTTAAAATACTTTGATTGTTATTTAATAAAAATTTATAAAATATAGCTGTTTTCTCTCGATTTTTTAAAAACATAAATTAAAAAAAATGATGGCGTCACATCAGGAAGAATATTTATAAAAGTGTTACAAGACCCAAACCTAAACGTGTGTTACACTGATTTAAAATTTAAATAGAATATATAAGGTGAAAAATAAACAGAAATACCTAAGCAAGAATCGAATTTTGAACCTACAGAATATAAAGTCGATAATAATTTTTCATTACGTAAATATAAGGCCAACATATGAACATCTTTATTATATAACCTAATACAGAATCCTTCAAATTTCTATCCTCATCATTAACAGCCTTCTGATTATATATATATTTTCATGATACGTCACAGGTGCCCTCTCGATGGAGAGATCATGGGTCTATTCCAGTATTCTAATGAGAAGCAAGAGGCGAGGGTCTCGTTCCCCGCACACAAGTTCCCATACACGGCCAGCGTGTATTACACGTGTGAAGTGAAGCTCTGCGACCTCAACCATCCCACTGATTGTGTGAGTCAGATACACTTTCATAGCCTGTAGACTGTAATATGTACCTACTGATTGATTGTCGTAACAAATTTGATGTTGTATTTATATGAAACTAGCGTTCCGCCCGCGTGGAGTTCGGTTATATCGCGTTTCCAAGAGAACCTTTCAAGTCTGGGATAAAAACTATCCTATGTTCTTTCTCAAGGTCAATTCTATCTCTGTACCAAATTTCATTAAAATCAGTCCAGTGGTTTAGACGTGAAAGCGTAACAGACAAACAGAGTTACCTTCGCATTTATAATATTAGTAGGAATTAATGAAAATGTATTATTTTCTAGCTATATTTATATCGTTCTGGGGTCTGAAACATTACGTTTCATAGTCTTTAAACAGAATTACATTCCTTTATGCACAGAGAAAAAAAAAATCATATATATTAGACGAACTTTCGATAATGCTCTATTTCTTTTAAGACATGTACATACTTTAATGAAAACTTAAATAGATTTTCAAGACATATCGAATCAAACAGTACAATTATTCTCACAATATATATATATATATATATATATATATATATATTATTCCAGGAGCCGTGCAGTCACAAGCGCCGTGTCCGTCGTCAGTCAGACGAGTCCCCGGCTACAGTGGAGGTGTTCTCAGGGCTGTATGTGAATGAAGCTGACTCACCTGACAATGATGTCACCAGCGAGAAGGTTAAAACACTATTACTATATTATATACATATATATGTATATATATACTACATACAGCTTAGAAGTCTTGAGCAAGATTGGTGATTAATGCTCTAACCTTCTCCATGTGAGAAGAGGCAGCTCAGCAATGAGCTCTGATAGGCTGATGATGATGACAGCTTAAAAAAATAAGTGTAATAGCTTTTTATTATATCATTTGTGATGTTTGTCATATTGTGTTATGTATTAGACATATATTGACTATGTTATGACAGATGAGAAATGAAACTTTTTATGTCCTTTAGAGTTTAGTAACTAGCAATGACCTTGTTCATAAATTCTTCTTTACATAGTTCAGTATAATATTTACACATGACCTAAGTGATGTCTAAGGCAACATCAATAATTCAAAGAATTGAATAGAAGTCCTTTCTTATGCAATATTTTGATGTTTATCATTTGGCATTTGTATACTGTAGATGATGGTAAAATACATTATTTCAGAAATAATATTAAAATTTTCTAATAAGGGATGTTAGCAATAAGTTTGTTTCTAGTCATTTCCTGATTACCATATCTTACTTGTTCATGAATATCTTTATTAACAAATTTATTACTCAATCAAATTGACACTAAACATATGAGTTATTGTTTCATACACATATCAAGCTATATTACAGAGATTCCCAAACTTATTTTTTCTCCTGCACACTTTGAGAATAAGATATTTTTTGTCACCCCCTTTTTTACCTACTGAGAATCCATTATAAGTCTACAACTTATCCTAGCTAAATGAAATTACAAATCATCCCACAGGCTTCTACACAATATCCCTATTATATTCTAGGTGTCTTATAACAACTATTTAGGCCTGCAATACCCACAAAGAGATGGTATCACTTTGGGGAACGTTGAATAATTTACTAATAAGTTTTAATCTCTGTTAAACAGAAAGAAGACGAGATATGCATATCACAGAAGAACTTCGCGATAGGTATCTGTATAGCGGGCGTCATCCTCATGATATGTGTGATAGCTGCCATAGCCTTCATCCTCGCCAGACGAAGGAACCCCAAGACATACTCAAGGACCGGCAGTTCATTATACAGCGGGCCTTACACTAACACTGGATATTCACACACTAGTTAAACAAATACATAAATAAATATTTGTTTTTACAATATATATATACATGTGCCAATAGTGACTGCATTACATTAAAAATATAAAATAATTAATTGGAATACAACGAAATTAATACCTGTTTGTAAATATCTTTGTGACATTTGTGTTTTTTTTCGTTTTGACATTTCAAGCGCGGTTTGTCTGTCGTATGGTTTTTTTTTAAAGAATGTAGTGTTCAGAAACACATTCAGTCAATTTTAATTAAGTTCTACCAATAAATTAATATTAGTTATACCAACAATATATAATTAATTTTATATTAATATGTGATAATTCGTGCATTATTGTCTCCGTCCATATATTTTTTAAGTTTATTTTAAATGGAAGGTTGCCTTGCGTTACGTAATAACAGAAACACGGTTGTTCTAATTCTATATAAAATAGCCGTGTTTGTGATCTTAATAATATTAATTTTGATATATATACCCACGAGAGTAATTATTGACTTAATAACAAATATAATGTTATATATGTACTAACAAAAATATGGTATTCAAAGATGTTTATTGGAAAAAATGACAGCTATATAAGATTTTCGCGGGTTTTTGTAGTTTTCGGTGGCGGGAAATAGGTCTGTGGTGAAATCCGTCATACAGTAGAAGCATAGAAAAAGTTTTTTCTATATTACATTCGCACGATGCCATATATTTTTGAATAAGCGTTTTAAATAATCCGTCCGATATAGGTGCTATTACGATTAGCCTAAACGCTTCTTCGCTTCCTATAATGTAACAACGAATTTGATATGCGTTTCATACTACTCCATTGATGTTTTAGTTTACTAATTTACCTATATCTTAGTTGCAATGGAGTTCTGGAACCATATCGAGAGTGAACCTTACGAGGTTGAGTATGTACGATTTATATTATAATTTTTTAACAAATATACTGACTTGAAAAACAATCGGGTATTTTTATTTCATTATAATTTCAATATTGTGTAACAAAACGACGTTATTGCAAGTATGTGACTTGAAGTCGATCTAAAATAAACTTTATTAATTATTATTAAGAAGCAATTTCAAATAACACAGGGTTATGTTCATTTTAGGTGGATTTAGAAAACTGAAATTGAACTTGTGTATAATTTTACATAAAATTTTTGTCTCAAACAAATCTTTATTAACTATATTTACTCATATTCTGAATAAATAAATTGTCTAAAGAATAATGAAACAAATCCATAAGTATAATTTGTATTGTATAAGATAAACAATCATATATAATAACAATAAGTACATAATTAATATATAATAATTTACTAGTGATGTTCAATTATCACATAAAATTATACAAAGCATTCCTTAACTCAGTCTTGACTAACTAAATTAATTGTAAAAAAAACTTAAGCATAATCTTGAAACAAAGTCAACTAAAATGAAATCAAGAAATTTTGAATAAAAAATATAGTCAAACGGACAGTCTATTGATTATTTTGAGTTCAATATTTTATTGGTAACAAAATGAATAAAATAATTTTGTGACAAAAATAATTTTGACATAAATTTCATTTCATAAATACTGAAATATTATATTTAATCAATTATAAGTTAAATTTAAACAATATTAAACATTCATTCCACTCACAGACAGAAACATTTTCTCATTAATCTAGATTCTAAATTACAATGTCTTATAGTCGGGCACTTTAAGGAACTGGTTTGAGTGTCAGAATTGTGGAAAAATTTATTGGAATTATTAATAAGGTAAAGAATCATCCATTTGTACGGTCATCAGTGAATCTTCAGGATATATTTCTAATAAGGCTTTAGTTCCATCGTTGAATGGAAATGACACACTGCCGTCTATCACCAACCCTGAAATAATGAAACGGATTTATCTTTATATATATGTAATGTAATTTACTTTACAATATACAATAATTTAGAGGAGGGATTTCAAAACTTATTTGTGTGTTTCACTTTGAGAATTAATTATTTTATATTGTCTTCATTGTTTATCATACTGAAAAATCACTATAACTTAGCTAAATGAAATTACAAATCAACCCAAGTCTCTACCAAAAACCCCAATTTTTTTTTGGGTATAACCATTCCCTTTAGGCCTAAATCAGCCACAAGATGGCGTTATCACCTACTTTGGGAAAGCCTTATTAACAGAACCAAAACATCTCATATTACTATATATATTTATTTCTATATAACATGATGATAATTCAATTTCAAACACACAAGTTCTCTTCACACAACATGACCTTTGACCTACTATCAGTATGTTATTAGTAATATATCTCACCAGCATCACTACAGTGAGACTTGACCCTCACACAGCCAGCCCTGTCCCTCACACGAAGTCCGCGGGGCGCGGGCCACTCTTCAAACGTGATGTACTCACGAACAGAATACGCTAAATACGCTGAATCTAAACAAGACAACACATACTATTAAGAAAACATATATATATAGAAGGAAAACATATTTTGTTCAGATTCTCATACATTAGGCATTAGTAATACACTATGTGTACAATTTAAGGCATACTTAAATAGTACACATAATCCACAAAAACCCAACTTATGACATTAATTTGTTTAAAAGCAGCAGATAAATATTTGTTACGATATTAAATAGTGTTTACAATGGCATTTATTGAATTCCGTTTTTTTTTATTTATGTATTCTTGTAAGATAGTAATAGATTATCTTAGATATATATACTAAGAATTTATAAACATAAAACAATTCTATACATGTACTATATAACAGAGAGTACAGACAGTTTCAAATTTTTTTCCTCACACTACAAACATAATTTCTAATGTAAAAAACGAATTGAGACATTTTAATTATTCAAAATAAAATATTAAGTGACTACATTAGGGAGCGTTCAAGTGTTACGTAACGCAATTTTGGCTGAGGGGGTGTCTCTTACAAAACGTTAGGTAGCATTGTTTCTAAAAAATATATTAATAAAACCCCCAAACTGGCAACTCTTTTCATATACGTTGCATTATATTGACCAGATTATATTAGTCTGGTCGATATTTTTATTTGTTATCATAATTTTGCAACCATCTTAATTGATATTTTACGGGGAATACCTAGATTGCATTGTAAGTCATTTAATGTTGCTTCCGTGCTCAGTATTCGTTAGTGTTTATCCGTCAGTTCAGTGTTCATACTGTAATTTCTTCAGAAGAGGGAGATTTGTATCAATGATCTTTTTTCAGATTAAAACTATACCAAACTTTTACATATTGTTTTACGACTTTTGATGAAATTGATCACTTGAGTGTTACGTAACGTTTTAAGAAAGGGGGGGGGGTACAGAAAAACGTTACAGTGCGTTACGAGGGGGGAAGGGGGGGTCAAAAATCTTCAAAAATTGAGTTACGTAATACTTGAACGCTCCCTTATAATATAAAGCATAAGAAATATTATTTACCTGGTGGGAACATTAATTTCTGGTTGTATCTCTCAGCGACCTCCCTCGCCTTCTCCAACGTCGTATCCATCTTAACATCAAACTCCTCATTCAGAATCTGCATCAGCTCGAGCACTGAATGGGTTCGGAGACAGTTGATGCTGAAATTTTATAATAACTATGTTTTTTACTATGATATTAATAAACTAAATATGATGAAATCCCTACTAATATTATAAATGCGAAAGTAACTCTGTCTGTCTGTCTGATACGCTTTCACGCCTAAACCACTGAACTGATTTTAATGAAATTTGGTACAGAGTTGACATTGAGAAAGAACATAAGATAGTTTTTATCCCAGACTTTTGAAAAGTTCTCTTGGAAACGCTATATAACCGAACTCCACGCGGGCGAAGCTGCGGGCGGAAAGCTAGTATTCAATAAATATTATTTAATTTGTAATGTATGTATTGTGCTAAGTAGCAAGACTGAATGACAGAAAATAATATAACAAAGTGATCTACAGATATTATACTTGACATCATATTATTATTTAACAATAATTAGCAAGTTATAACTAATACATAACACTATATAAGACTAATGTTTTATTAATATTGAGTCATTCAATAGGAAAAATAAAATGTATGAAAACATTTGAAAAAACTGTCTTATAACAAAGTATGCTTGTCATTTAATAAAATTATATAAGTAGCTTGATACATAATTAATAAAAGAAAACTTATGTCATATAAATTGTAGCTACATAGAGATGTTAATGACAAAATATAATTGTTTAAATATGTATGTCCTTGTGTATGTGATTACAGGCTCTACATGTGTGTGTGTGTGTGTGTCTCTGTGTGTGTGTCTGTGTGTGTGTGTACCTGTAATGCCATGAAGTACTCCCCGTGCCTGTTGTAACACACAACCCGGAGCTCTTGGTGTGTGTCCATTGTCCGTTATCTATCTGTAGTCTGAGGAGAGACACGCGTGACGTCACACTCTCACCTATAAACACCTGGACAGAGAAATAAATAGGTTTTATATAACACTAGCTGCGCCCCGCGGTGTTACCCGCGGATTTCCGGGTTGTAAAGTAGCCTCTGTGTCATTCCTGGACGTCAGCTTCCTGTATACAAAATTTTATCAAAATCGCTTCAGCCGTTTGAGCGTGTAGAAGTAACAAACATACACACACACTCACAAACTTTCGCAATTATAATATTAGTAGGATGTAGTATGTATTGACATATAGTGAAAATTATACAGGGTGACTGGTAAATTACTATCAATATTTAAGGAGCATACTCGGTACATGATTCTCATTTGAACTATGTAAAAAAAATAGGTACTTAATTTTTGACCAAATTTCCGTATAAATAAATAAAGTGTGTACACGTTCCAAGTGTGGACGCGTGCGGCGGCGTGCTGATACAACAACACGCCGTCGCGCGCGTATGTGTGAGTGTGTGTGTATACCTAATCTGTAGGGTGTTCATACGATGCGTAACAAATAACGTAAATTACAAAACTTTTGGTTAACTTTACTTAGAAGTTTATTAATATTTATGTTATATTAATTTTTATTTTGTCATATATGATCGTCAAATATCACGTCCTCAAATATTGATAGTAATTCACCAGTCACCCTGTATATGTATGTTTCTATACAGCTATCTGGGACAATTTCAAGCTCGGAATAGACTATTAATAGATATAGATAAAATAAATATTTAATACACTCATTTTTTATGAGATATTTGTTTAAAGTCGTCCTTAGTTTGTTTGAATGTCCTCATTGTGTTATTAAAAGTCATATATACATATATATTAAAGGTAATATGGCCTAGTATGTCTAATGTATATTACTATTACAACAAATTATCATCCACACTTCATACAATTTACAAGGCGGGGTCTTATAATAATACTAAACAATATATTTACCTCATTCAAAGCCAACAATGGCAACACTTTAGTCGCTAACGTACAGCTATCTTCTTTATAGTCTGTGTTGGTATCAGAATTATCATGAGGATTTGTTACAGGAGGATATCTGGAAAAATAAACAAATAAATACATGATATAAAAATAAAATATCTTCGGATATATCTTAAGAAATATTTTCTGAAGACAAATTAATATTCCAACATTTCTATCTCATATTGAATGAATTCATTAAATAGACTACATAACTTATTACAATAAAAACTATTGAATGTTTAATATACATATATTTTACTCCTACCTCGCTATTTTTATGAATTTAAATATATACATAACTAGCTTTTCGCCCGCGGCTTCGCTCGCGTCGAGTTATATTATATCGCATTTCCAAGAGAACCTTTCAGAAGTCTGAGATAAAAACTATCCTATGTTCTTTCTCAAGGTCAACTCTGCCTGTACCAAATTTAATTAAAATCAGTTCAGTGGTTTAGGCGTGAAAGTTTAACAGACAGACAGAGTTACTTTCGCATTTATAATATTAGTAGGGATTATATACCTGCAATAATTCATAGTGTGCAGATCTACAGGTGTAATTGTTTCCAGCTGTTTTGGTTCAGAAGTAATTGTGGTTCTTATCCTGGAACGACGCATCCATCTAAATCTACCCTGTAATATAATATATGATGTATTGTTAAATAAAATATATTTATTAAGAAATATAATATAACAGAGTGTTTATTACAATGATATATATTACATTATATTTAATTAAACCCTTTTATTATGATTGTAATTTTATGTAAGCTTATTAATTATTTTTTAATTTATCACCATTAAATTATCTATTGTTTGAATTAAGTAATGAAGTATATATATGTAAATATGCAGATATATACATATGCAGTCGACTCTCGTTAATTAGAAACTCGAGGAACTCTTAAAATATTTCGAATTATCAAATGTTTGAAAAATCAAATGGTTCGAAATTTGTGTGAGAAAAAAATAACACTTGGAATTACTGAGTATTGATCCATAATTATTTATGAACTGCTATATTATAACAATGAATAAAATTAAGATTGTGCATACATTCACTTATACTGCTCAATAACTTTCTTTAAAGAGAAAAAGTGCCTTAAATGTTTTTTCATAACTTTCGTTTTGTAAACAGAAGCGTTGTAAGGTATCCAATGTCATCCAATGTCCAAAATCATTCAATCTCTTTTTCTCCGCAACTTTCAATCGTCAAGTCTTGGACGCCGATAAGTTCAAATTAACGCTTCGTTTTATTATGTAGCAATGAATTTTTATTCAAATTATCAAGTGCATAAAAATGTATTGATTTAGTTCGAAATATATAGAGATTTTGCGGGGAACTAGTGATAAATTTAAATTATTGAGAAGTTCGAATTATCGCAGGTTGGAATTAACGAGAGTAGACTGTATGTAGATATGTAGATATGTAGATGAGTGTCATCTCTACCTCCTTCAAAGCAGTGAATGCTCCCTTCACATCATTAGAACACCAAGTCGGTAAACACAATCTGCCAACTGACTTGTGTGGAGCACTGTTGAAACCTATCACGGGTTTTCTGGAACAAAAAATTATTATTTTGATAATAAAAAAAGTATTTAGATATCAAATTTGTTAAATTATTGACAATAATAGGAATGAATTTGACAATTTCTGGATGTATATTAAATTTTATTTATTATTTTGATAAAAATATTTGTAAAATATCATATATATATTTTGAGGCACACATATATATTAATAAAACTATATGTACTTTTGTATCTTTTTTAGAATGTCATATTTTAAGAACAAAAAAATCCGCAATCAAAGATAACACATATTTATTTACATTTAAGCTACTTTTGTATATTTTAAATATTTATTTTAACTGATAAAATTTATTTTGGGTATACAAACACAATTTGTTTTATATATCCTATATCAATTTCAAGGCAATAAAATATATTTTAAGATAACTTTAATACCTTCAGGTAGAATAACACTATAAATAATCCAATTAATTTATAAACTAAGAAAACCCTATGTAAAAAACCAAAAATTTAAGCAAAAATCCCATACATTGTATCTGTACTTACAGTAATTATATGTGTATATGAAAAAGATAATATAATGTAATTAATAATTAATTATTTTACATACATATTTGTTACCTATATTAATCATCATTCACATTTTAAATTTTGTTAATATACTAATATTTTTGTACACAGTGATTAATTGATTGATTGATTGACTGATGATATTTCTGTAAACTACCCTCATTATAAAAAAATCTAAGTCTATTTTGACTAGTCCGAAAATGATGAAGTTTTATATACCTAATTCTGTTGAAGTTTTTAGAATACTCACGTGGCATCTCTGACCCTTGAGGCCGCTAGTAGGAAGGTCCCATCACCACCACACGGTACTACTACATCACACCACTTTATTAACTCGTCGTTGTAGGTTAAACTGGACGAAAAGCATTATTAGACGTTAAATACCTAGTAATTTAAGTAATAGTTTGTAGATATAATGAGATCTAAGATTTTCGCGAGTACTCATTTAAATGAAACTAATATTTTCGAATTTTTGCTTCGCCTATTTATTTTTGATTATGAACTACATACTCCCAACGTTTCGGCTACTTTTCAGTAACCGTGATCACGGGCAGACGGGATATCTCGTAAATATTAGTTTCATTTAGTTTGTAGGTGTAATATCTGGTTATAACTTCTATTAGGACTTTTATCCCGACTTAGGTCCTATTTAGATATTTAAAATTGAATCAAGTGAAGTTTAAGTATTTGAAGATATTTGGGTGTTTTTGTTAGCAACTTTTTTTGGGAATGTATCCAATGGAAAGGCGAACAAATATTAATATTTAACGATCACTTTTATTTTGACTTTTCGTACAAAACGCCTGTAGTCTATACAATAGCAACAATCATACATTGCTCTTATATATTATGATGTTTATGTGTTATGTTGTGCTAGTGTGTCTTTTTCTACCTGGCAATTCCCCAGTTTTAACCAGGGTCTGCCTTACATGTTGTGGATAGTTTTGGCTAATTGTTTTTACGACCGGCCGCCTGCCTGACATCAACCCTCTTTGGGAATGCATTAATCAGTGATGTCTAAATACTTCTAGAAAGTACATATGACTCGGAGAAATCACATTGGTACTTGCCAGGATCGAACCCGCGCCCTCATGGATGAGAGGCGGCCCTTTTAACCACTAGGCCACCACTGTTGAGCTAGTGTGTGATAGTGTGAATTTTGAAATGTACATATATTCTTACCGACTAGCCATCTCAACTTGTAGGCCCATACTTTTCAAACTGCTCGCCACATTCTCCTCGAAAGCCTTCTGTTGTCTGTGGGTCTCTATCATTGAATCGAAGTCTGACCCTCGCTTCCGTAAAATCGCTTCCAGATCAGAATCCGCGATATTGTCATGCATATGTCTGTGAAAGGTCATTCATTAGAATCGCATCGGGAATCGAACCTGTTACCTCAATAGTTCAGCTTTATTTTGAGATACAACTCAAATATATCGATATTAATGAAACGCAAGGAATGAAAAAATATTTTTTTAAACAAATGAATTTGATAGGGAAAATATATTTACATCTCGCAATTAAAAATTTCGTAAGAAACATTGTATTTCATGTTAGTGATAAAAAAGTAATGTAAAATATGAGAATATTGTAAAGTCAAAAATAATAATACAATTACGTTTCAATATTACACTAGTCAAATGTAGTTGACAAACACACACACGCACACACACACACACACACACATGTATAAAGCTATATTTTTATATATTGTCCAACCTCTCATATTCATATCTGGTAACTTTTGACACTAAGAGACATTTTTCCATCTTAAGTCGTGTGTTTTCTTTGCGATTGATTGAAGCATTCCCGCATAACTCTTTATTGTGACGAAGACCTGGAAATACAAAAAAAATTATCTAAATATATACAGAAGTTAATGTTACATAATAATATATATATATTATAATCAATATACATAAGTCGTATGAGAAATTACAAACAACAAAACATTCCCACAATTGATAAACTATTATCTAAAATCAACCAATTAGACGCGTCAAAAACAAGATTATTAAAGAACGTAGCTAAATAAATAATTGGAATGTACAAGTATTGATATAACAAATAGTTTATAATTTATATATTATATACTAGTTATTGGCCGCGACTCCGTCCGCTTGAAACATCAGAGAGAAACAGTGACTTAAAACAATACTTAGAGTGCGGGTCACGACTTAATACACAAAACAATTATAGCCTATATCTTATTCTGATATGTAAGCTATATTATTATGAAGTTTCATCAAAATCGATACAGTAGTTTTTACGTGGAAGTCTAACAAACATCGATACATATGTTAAAACTTACGCTTTCAGAATAGTCGTGGCATGTGTTTTACAATCTTGCGTATAAATTTATGGGCTAGATAGCTTTTATATTTAATCTGAGCCTTAATTTTATTTATTTTTCTTTAATATATCTCAAATTTTATATGAATAACATTAATGTATTGATTTTTATGACGATAAGATAAATAATGACACAGTAACCGATTGTTACACGTCATACATTTTGTTATTTTCCACAGATATATATAGAATGACCAGATCTGGTCGGTTTTCATTAAACAGGGTCGAGAGAGATAATAGACATTAATCATTCATTGTGAAGATGACTCAGGGTTGTCAACTTAGAGTTAGGGTTGTCAACTTGTTGGGGAATAATCGTAATTTAGGAATTTTTGGACATTCGTCACTTTACTGATCCTAAAAGTTGTCAAATTGGCAAGAAAAAATTACCTAGCTGTTTTGAAAACTAAGATAAAATACAGTTTTTGGAATAATCCATATTTTTTTATTTCATTGTAATTTTTAACATTATTATGTACTATTATATAAATTGTTATATATGTATAATTTCCTATGAAACTGCTATCACGAAGTGGCTATTTGTTGTCCATATTTGTATGTCTAGTGTCATAAATAGTTTTGATATAATAATTGTAAAATATACCTGCAGAATAATTTAAGGAATATAAATTCTTTGTTAAACTATTATATCAGTAACTACATAGCTTTCCGCCCGCAGCTTCGCCCGCGTGGAGTTCGGTTATATCGCGATTCCAAGAGAACCGTTCAAAAGTCTGGGATAAAAACTATCCTATGTTCTTTCGCAAGGTCAACTCTATCTCTGTACCAAATTTTATTAAAATCAGTTCAGTGGTTTAGGCGTGAAAGCGTAACAGACAGACAGACAGAGTTACTTTTGCATTTATAATATGTATTAGTACTGATAGTAGGGATTGAAAATATAAGGGGAATAACCGTTGAGTTTGGGTTATTTTCTTAATGTCTGATTGTGAATGGTATGTTTTTAGTCACATTTGGTTTAGGACAACTGAAATTTGTCGTGGGTATTATTGGTTTACAAATTATATGTATATTAGAAGTTATGGCATTAAAACTGAAAGTGCCATAGAATTAGGGCTTTCCACACTCGCTATGGAAACGTAGCTACGTTATATATATATATATATATATATATATATATATATATATATATATATATATATATATATATATATATATGTATAAATTTCAGAAGAAAAGTGGTTCATCATTAACACATAACGCGCATTGGGAGCCAAAAATATTTCTTTTATTTTAAACTTAAAATCGTATTTAGAAGTACATTTTAGCATTTCTTTGCAATGATTTCAATTGAATTTCACGTGATTACTTAATTAATTCTCGAAAATACTATCAAATATCTGAATTGAACAATAAGGAAATGATTAAAGAAACTTATATAATATCAATGTTATCTTAAAAACTGAATTGCAAACAGACATACATCTTATACATAGATTAAAATTAATCAATAAAAGCTTATAATAATAATAATTTAATTTTTATTATTCTCAACTGACGTTATCACACGACCTTGGGTTTAAGCCATCTAATGATGTTATTCAAGCAAAAATAAGTCGGAATTGAAAAGACAATATTATCATGTAAAATAAATGAATATTATTGCACGATGGATATCAATATTTTGGTTGGATAAAAGTTTTCATTATACAGACATGTTAAATATATTGAATCATTCTAAAAAACTACAATTTGGGTCAATGGAAATAAATAGCTTAGTCTTGCAAAATCGTCAAACAAAAGTTTTGTGACAAGAGTCATAACTAAGTATATTTTTACTAGCAAGATTCTAAAGCCTTCCATTTTGCCTAAATCAAACCAATTATATTCAATTTTGAATCTCTATACACTATAAAGAACGAGTAACGCGAAGCCCATATCTCATATCTAGCAAATTTTTGGAGAATTTATTAAAAAAGGAATATTAATGGCAAAATCAATATCAGATAAGATATAACAATAAAAGTTAATTTAAATCTTATTACATGATACGTACAATCATTTAAGTGATAGACGCGTGACAAACACTGAGAAAAATATTAGTTTAAATCACTATAAACATTAATATTAAGAATTTGCAGAAATGTGTGGGCATATAATTCGTACGAGGACGACCAAATTGGCCAATAGTTCTCAACTAAGTAACTTTCCCTTTAACCCTACTCCGCGGTCAACTGTAATGCGACATGCAATAGACATGCGATAAATTTGAGACAATATACTACGACCTAAATCATACTATTATTTCCTTACACATGTTTTACAAAACATTACAAACGTTTTATGAGATAACCATATCAAAACATCGTTTAAATAGTATCTGCGTCATAAATTAGCGATACTAAAATAGATCATTAAATTAATTACATATGATATTACGCAGTAAAAATTTATGAATGAAAAAACATTTTAATAATGCAAGTATGTCCACACAGTACTCAAGATTATAATTAGACCGACAAATAAAGACATTGACATTGGCAGAATATTACATGATTCCAGTGAGAATGAAGACATAGCATAAAAAAGCAATTTTCCAACTTAAATAAAAGCTTATAAATGGACTAGCTTTCCGCCCGCACCTTAACCCGCGTGGAGTTCGGTTATATCGCGTTTCAAAGAGAACCTTTCAAAAGTCTGGGATAAAAAACTATCCTATGTTCTTTCTCATAGTCAACTCTATCACTGTACCAAATTTCATTAAAATCAGTTCAGTGGTTTAGGCGTGAAAGCGTAACAGACAGACAGACAGACAGAGTTACTTTCGCATTTATAATATTAGTAGGGATGTAATTGTTCAAAAACAAATTTAGAACTATTTTTTTTTAAGTTTTGGTAAAACTGAAATTATATTAAATAAAATTGAGAACATTTTCTGTTTAAACATCATATACAGCTGCGTGCAAAAGTATTAGGCACCCCTATTGTTAGTCACTATCTCATTAGATAGCGGTCAAGTGTGTGTTTTATGGTTTAGCTATTGTATTAGCGGCAATTTTTAACCAAATTAAGATAAAAGAAAATATTTATGACATCCAGGTGTGCTCCTAAGCGGTGTTTCTTCGAATTTGCTTTTTTTGCGTTTCGGGTTATAGTGTGTTATCAGTGCTTGCAGTGAACATACACGTCTTCTACGCAACTATTCCTATCACAATTCTAAAGACTAACATTTAACGTGTTAATCATGCCGAAAAAATCTGAACTTAGTGCTGAACAGCGTCTAAGAATTAAGATTTTACATGAACAAGGCATGTCTCAGGTTAAAATAGCCCGAGAAGTGAAGTGCTCGCGATGTGCAGTTCAATATGCTATAAATCGCTTCAAAGAGACTGGCACCCATGAAAATAGACCAAGAACAGGCAGAAGAAAAGTTACTACTGAACGGGAAGATCGATTGTTGATTAGGCAGTCTCTACAAAACAGGAAAAAAACGGCTTTAGAGCTCGCTGCAGCATTATCTGAGGCAAAAGGCAGCTCAGTGAGTGTTTATACTGTGAGAAGAAGACTTCTTAAAGCTGGATTAAAAGAATGTAAAGCAAGGAAGAAGCCGTGGCTGTCAGAACACAATAAGAAAAATCGGATGGAGTGGGCACTCAAACATAGAGATTGGTCAGTGGAAGATTGGTCCAACATACTGTGGTCAGACGAATCTAACTTTGAGGTATTGTTATTTATTTTATGTACAATATTAAAACACATAAATGTTTTTAAAATAACGTACTGCAAGAAAAATAATAACTTTGAAAATAAATGGGTTTTTTTCGTTTGGCATAGGTGTTTGGAACACCCGGTGTGACTTTTGTTAGGCGAAGGGTTGGCGAAGAATACAACCCAGAATGTGTGGTTCCCACTGTTAAGCAAGGTGGAGGCTCAATAATGATCTGGGGCTGCATTGCTGCCGACGGAGTGGGCGAAATGGTGTTGTGTGATGGACGAATGAATAGTGTTAAATACACTGAAGTTCTGGAAACAGCACTAGCAACGTCGATAACGCAAATTTTCGGTGATACAAACACCGATGGCCTGAAATTGCAGCAAGACGACGCCACTTGCCACAAGTCCGCGCATACCATGAAGTGGTTTGCTGAAAATCATATTGATCTTTTGGACTGGCCACCACAATCACCAGACCTCAACCCGATTGAGCATATTTGGTCCATTTTAAAGAAAAATATCCGCAGGCACTCGATTAGCAATAAACAAGCTCTATTGGCCGCGTTACGGCAGGAATGGAAAAATATATCAAGAGAAGAATGTTTCAGGCTGGTAGAGTCAATGCCAAAAAGAGTGGCTGCGGTTATTAAGTCAAAAGGTGGACCTACAAAATATTAATTATTTTCTTAAAATAAACCATTGTAATCATAAATGCAGTTTTATTTACACTCGCTATGCTAAAAGACCTTAAAACTTGTCTTACTGTAGGGTGCCTAATACTTTTGCCCGTGGCTGTATTATATATACATATATATATATATATATATATATGAAGAATTATTATAGTAAAATATTATAATACATAAATATAATTTCGTTGATTTTGATATAAATTACAAAATTAAAAGTTATTCTTTTAAGATGCTGTTAATAAAGAAATATATGCAATTTTTTCACAATACTTAATTTATAATATGGTTTTAAGATTTCAGAATTTGTGGAAAATTCTTTATTTAAATAGAAATAATTTAGACAAAAGTCATTCACATTCAACTTGGTATTTGAATGAATCCAGGGTTATGCTATTCCCCATACATATAATAAAAATAGATAAAAATCTATTTAAAGTTAATATAGTAAATATAAATAGATTTAATTCTTCCAAAACATTCAAAATGTCTTCATGAATTAATATCCCATTAATTGTATAATAAATAATGAATCATATATATAAAAGTATTTCTTTGTATAATTAAATATTATAACTTATTGACTGAGTTTTTTTACACTTAGATAACTTATCACAATATCTATCATTGTTAATAAAAACGATTATATTTTGTATTGAAATTGGCAAGCATATAAATTCCTATGATATTTTGATCAAAAAGATATAAAGATTTTACATACAATTAGTAAAAATTAAATATACATGAAACATATGTATTAAAAAGACTTTCAAATACAAATTTCAGGATTGTAAACACCCTGTTTATATCTTCTTATTCTACCTAGCAATTTCCCAGCTTTAGCCAGGGTCTGCCTTACATGTTGTGAATAGTTTTGTCTATTTGTTTTTATGACCGGCCGCCTGTCTGACATCAACCCTCTTCGGGAATGCATTAATCAGTGATGTCTAAATACTCTTAGAAAGTACATATGACTCGGAAAAATCACATTGGTACTTGCCACTGACATACACCCTGTTTATATGAATGGGTAAAATAATATAACATGCAATAATTACAATATCTTGGTGTTAATTTACTAACATATACTATTATATATTAATTAGTATATTTTGATTGCTTTATAAATTGATATTGTGTGGACAGCTCTTAAAATACTATCTTGCATTGACAAATACTTCAAAATCATTGTTATTTCTCTAAATAATATAATCATTGCATCATCGTAAATAAACATTAAAAATTACTTGGTTTTTAATTCAAAATATCTTTTAATATATATGTATGTATTTGTATTTGTATTTATTTTTACAGTACAAATTTATTGTATATTTTGATTAGAATTTATAAAAAGGTGGGAAGATTTGTTTTGGATATGACTTTTTTTTTAATATATTTATAAATATATGGTTATTATATTCTGAAAAATGATTATTCTGTTTAAATTCTTTTACATATTATCTAATATGACGATTATAATATTAAAGTCATGTTTATGAAAAGCAAAAAACTAAGTACTCTATACTCTGCAGTCTAAGCTTGTAGATGGTTGTATATATTCATGCCAATTTGAGAAGCCATATATAAAAACTTGGGAGTTTTTTTACATTATTGTATATAATATTAGGTTAAATAAGCCCATATTACCCCCATTTCACTTATTGTCATTTAACTATTAGGTAAGCAAATAAAAAACTCTTTATCGAGTAATGATATACCAAAAATTTCTTACATCATGTAGGAAATCAACAGATATTCTTACACTAAGACAATAGTAAACAAATGCTTACAAACCATCATGAGAAAACTTACAATGAAATGAAATGAACTTTATCAAAATCAGTTAATCCATTTAAGATGTATAATGTTACAAAAAGACAGACATTGAAATCAAACATAACACCTATTTTTTTTTTGCACTTGGTTAAAAATGCATTAGTTATACATTCAATATAAATTCTCTTATAGAATGAGATCTAAGATTTTCATGACTACTCATTTAAATGAAACTAATATTTTTAGATAAATCCCATTGTAAATCCGAAAATATTAGTTTCATTCTCTTAAAGATATTAAAAGTTTTATTTTTCTATATTCTAAAAATATATAATATATTTGATGTAATATCTATTGGAATTTCTTTTTCCGCATTCCATATCTAACCTTAACCCCAGAACTAATCATATGTTTATCATAATGCTATTATAATTAATGACATTATGATATCTTTGCTAATGATAAACAGGAAATTTTATTATACCAATATAAAATTATATTAAACATACTGTTTATATATTTGAGCTTAATATTCTTTATATATGAATTAGTACTTAAATGTTGTAGATAAAATGATAATAGTAAAAAATAAGTTCAGTGGTAACTTTATAAATCTGTTAAATTACAATGATAACCAGAAACTTTCTAGAACAAGTTGAAAAGTCGTGCATTCATTGTAACTGATGTAAATGTTACAAGTTTTTTATATCAGTGTTAATAAATAGGTCACAAAAGGTTTCCATTTATAATAATTACGAGAAAATGTCAAGCAGGCGATCGTAACTTTTATACGAGAAACTTTTCTAACTTGAGATATATAAATTAAATTATTCTTTAAATACTTACGTCTTAATCCTTTAGCTATTGACACTGTGAAATTGTTTAACACTGACATAATATTACACTTATTATTAAGTCGTAAATAAATAAACAAATAATCCGCTTAACACTACACAGGACTGTACTTTTTCGCTGCGGTTAATAAACTGAATTTAAAATCATATAAAAACAGAGGCGTGGCGATACGATAATATATTAATCGCGGCTTTAATTGTTATTCATTATGATAAAAATAAGTAAGATATTGAACATTCTTTATACAACCTTGCTTTTGAGTTACGAAAAATGATAGCAAATTGCAATAGTGATATTGTATGAAAGATATAATTTGACATTTAGTTTATCGTTCGTAAATTTGATACAATGTCAACGAATTAGTTCTATATTTAATCAAAATAAATATTATGTTGGACTTCGTTAGTATATTCTTATTTATAAATGAATTTAACCAGTATTTCGTTCCTATGTGTTTTTTAGTAAATTTAATAGAGGATAATTTGTTTGCTCATACATGTTAGTGAGTGTCTATTTTGCGGAGCGGGGAAATTATATTCGATAAACTTTTCTAGTTAGAGAGTTATCCTTAATGTCAAAGAGTCCAGTAATGAAGAAACAACTCTCGTCATGCCTATGACATATCATGATATTCTTCTTCATTCTGGTGGTAAATTTTCACCTTCGAGAAAAGTGGCCAAAGTCCTATAAATCCTCTAAAACGGGAGAAAATTATTTACAACAATGATGATGTAGTATTTGATATAGGTACTTAACATTAACATGTTGGAGTCTTTGTCATTCTAATTATTCCGATTTATAAGCTTTCACCAAAAATTGTTTTGGTATAATATGACGATAGTTTAATTAGTGAGAAAGCAAGTAGGGGCACCATAAAATACTCTAGATATTTTAGTGACGCCTGCCTATTTAAGATAAGTTACTTATGCAGAATTGTGTTAAGTCGGATACGCAAAAGGCCGTGTAAATGTCAAATTAGTACATACTTGTTTTTATTACACAACATTACATGCTACAAAAAAGTTTGGACCGAAGATTGCTTCAATCGATAACGCTCACTTGGAGAAGTCCATCAGAAACCTTCAAAATAAAATCCCTTAATTATTAAAACTTATTTTCCAACTCCCTTTTCTGATTGAGTCGTTATTATGGTTAAAATGAAACTTATATTTTCGGACTACTACTCGTTATTTTTTTTTAAATACATACTGCCGACGTTTCGGTTACTTTGCAGCAACCGTGATCAAGGGTAGACGAGCTATGATAGTAAAATAACGCGTAGAAATCTGGAAATATTAGTTTCTTTAAATAAATATTCGCGAAAGTTTCAGATCTCTTTATTATAGTTTAAGTTGTTGTTCTAATCTCCTGACTTTTTAACTTTGAGTATAAATTTTAGCAGATATCTGATTGTTTGCTAATTTTTGAGGACAGGCGCTCTCAGCTCTATTTATCATTTCAAATTGATGTTTATATTGTAGCAAAAACATTAAAATGAGATCATATTGAAACTTAACGATGTAAAACGCAGGAACAGGATTTTATTTCGTGCTTCCAGTAACGGAGTTGAGGGATTAGGGAACAGTAATTAAGGAGGTGAACGGTTATTTCTTTTCATGAAGAGTATTTTTTTAAAAATAAAGTATATGCATAGAAAGAACATGTCAGAAGTGAAGTCTCTAGTTGACTATTTTTTAATTTTTAACTTTATTTATCTTGTCTAATATGAAGCTTAAACTCTGAAACTTTATTAAATGTATAGAGAAAAGTAAATCTTTTATAAGATTTTAATATTAAGTTATGAATAACATATTATTATTTAATATGTTACGAAAATGTATTTCTTAGGTGGTAGAGCCTAGCTGTGGTAAGTTACTACAGCTCGAACATGGGCTGGCTCGACCGGGGAAGTACCACCCTCTCACAGAAGATCGGAGTGAAGTAGCCTTTAATGGCTGCGTTTCGTCCGATGAGTGAGAGAGCCGGTTGCCCTTTTAATATTTCCCACCCCTCCCTATCCCTAAAAAAACAAGGTTGGCAAGGCATCCGCAACTAACATGTTGCGGATGTCCATGGGCGACGGTTCTACCTTACACCAAGTAGGCCCCACTGCTCGTTTGCCACCTTTGACTTAAAAAAAAAATAATGTAATTCTTAATCACGAATTGTAAATTATAATGATATGTGAATTCGGTCAGTATAAGAAATTACTATTGGATTTTCTTTTAAATTAAAATTAAAGAAACAGAATTCGTGAAATATATTTCCTGCATATTATAATTGAAAAATGAAACATAAAATTCTGAAAAAACAAGTATCAATTTAAAAATATTAGCATCAAAATTGTAAATTAACAAAAATATAAAAAAAATAAGTAGGGTATACTCCTTACTCTTAAAATCTTTTCGTTGTATCTCACTTTCTCCTTCTCCTTACATGAAAAAATCCCATAATTTCATCACCAGTATTATCATTATTGTACAAATAAGAAGAAAAAGAGATTAGAATTACATGTTATTCGCAAAGTTTTACCCCCATTCAAGTAGTTCAATTTTAAAGAAACTTATATTGAAGCTGATATTATAATAAAAGTTTCATTAAGACACAAAAATAAACAAATCACTAATCAGTATACATATTATTTAATAAGTAATTAAACTGTAGATGATATTTGTTCATATAATAAGTTTTTAAACATAGGTACCTATATACATTAAAACATTAATAAGATACACACTGAGTCGTTATTTCACCCAGTAATATTAATAAAATACATAAAACGAAGTAAATATATAAACGAAAACATTAAAAAAATAGAGACTTGTGTATTATAAGTATTTAAGTCCATTTCAGAAAATTTTACAAAAGGCTTGGTGGCTCCCTGGCTCTGAATAAGAGAAGCCATGTGAAATCATTGATTCAGATGTTGTCCCGGAGGATTTTGCTGGTCAAGTCTAGATACTCAGAACAGCAAGCAATCCTCAAGCGCCTCGTGGACTATACGGTGGCAAAACTTAAATATTGTAGTTCAGTCTGAAACTTGAATGTCCAATGAATTGTCCTGAATTTGGGTTAGTCAGTATGAAGATGCAAGTGGTGGTTTAAGTCAGTGGTGGCCTAGTGGTTAAAAGGCCCGCCTCTCATGCACGAGGGCGCGGATTCGATCCTGGCAAGTACCAATGTGATTTTTCCGAGTCATATGTACTTTCTGAGAGTATTTAGACATCACTGATTAATGCATTCCCAAAGAGGGTTGCTGTCAGGAAGGCGGCCGGTCGTAAAAACAATTAGCCAAAATAATTCAAAACATGTAAGGCAGACCCTGGCTAAATCTGGGAAATCGCCAGGAAAAAGAAGTATGAAGATGCAAGTGTTTGGCTCGTCCCCATTCCTGGATTGCCAAATTAATTGTGGATTACTTTTGGTTGTTGTTATATATATATGTGTAGTCGATGTTTACGTTTGATGCTTTGTGGGGCCCGACTACCCACTATGGGCCTGAGTGACTATTTACATCGTTTTCAACTTTTTAGCAGGGTAGTTTTAATGACAAATGGAAACTAATTCAACCAATTTAGAACGACAACAGTTGGTATTGAGAATCAGAACCCATTTTTTTCGGTCAATGAAGACTTTCAAGCTCTTTTCGAGGCTTGAAAAGTTTATAGAATCAATTAAAATACTATAAAAGTTTTTCATTTTAAAACGTTAGCTACAATTTAACTAGCAAGAATAATGCTAACAACTTTATTTTTAACGAAAATTAAATAACCAAACTTTTCATTTCTTTTAAATGATTATAAATCAAATAATGAAATGCAGTGAATAATCTTATATGTATTTAGGTACTGATTATAAAAATCATTTCATTTATCACACAATTAATAAATTGATAAGCGCGTATTTGTCTATTGGATCTAAAATCTCGGAACTTGTCTATGGTTATAAAACTGACATATGTGGAGCGTGGAGACAGTTGAATAAACCGTAACGTCAGAAATAAAGTCATTTATATATAAAGAAATTACAATCGGGTCGTGTTTGTTTCGGGTCTGGCTGTTGGATAGTTTTCGAGCAAAATCTAAATATTCATGCATACTATCCATACAATATAGTGTTAAAAAGTACAAAGGTTGTTTTTAAACATAACAAAAATGGGTCTCATTATATCGCGATTCTGGGTGAGTATTTTGAATAATATTAATGTTTTGTAACATAGCCAAAACTATTTCGATGGTTGATTGTCTGATATGTTTTGGCGTGAATTCAAATGATCACCCGTGACCTATTACATTTTAAATTTACATAGTACGGTCAGTGATATGCGGTCGGTTTGTGGGTATATCGCCGACTTAGAATTCCCGACAATATATACGCGGCTTTTACAACATATTAGGTGTATATTAAACAATAGGCTGATATTTATTAAACTAACATTTTATATGTCAGCCCACACACTGAAACAGTCCATACATAAAACAATGAATTTGAAATATCCTACAGAAAATATATTATATTAATTCTATTCTATTTCATAAGAATTCATTATAAGACAGGTTTCTTACTCAAATGAAACATTTTAGTATCTCTTATATTATATTATGTATTAATATATCTTTTTCCTTTACCTTAAAATAGTTCACAATATTATCAATTTTGTATGCACTAGTTTTAAAACATAAGCAAGCTATTTGTCTGTTTGTCAACCTGTCTTCAACCGGTCTTAATAACTGGTATAACTATTTTTAGAAATAAAGACACTTTAAATATAAACGCAAAAGTAATGATTCTTATTTTATGATAATAATCAGTTTTTAATAAAATATATGTAATAATTATGTATATATTGAGTTGTTATTATAAATTTATAATTTAATTCCTCCATATGTTATATTTTAATATTTGATATTTATTTCATTATAACAAATCATATTCCAATAAGAATCAAACTAAAATATTTTTCCGATTACTACATATATTTTATTATTTTAATAATACATATCCTCATATTTTGGTTACTTTGCAGCAACTGTAATCATGGGCAGATGAGATGTCTAGCCATGATCACGGTTACTGCAGTCTTTAAAAATAATAAAAAACACTAGTAATTTATTGATAGTAGTAATATCATTTAAATAATACTCGCCATAGTCTTAAATCTCATAATGAGGTAGACCTAGACTCTAGAGAGTCTTATTAATTTATCTATTTATTCTTTTTGGGTGTGTTGATTTCAGTTGCATAGTACATCCAAAAAATATTAGTTTTATTTAAAAGTTGTAGATTTCATTTCCAATAAGAATTAATTATCTTCTAAGACTTATCCCTACTTATATTTATTATAAATGCGAAAGTAACTCTGTCTGTTTGTCTGTCTGTTACGCTTTCATGCATAAACCACTGAACTGATTTCAATAAAATTTGGTACAGAGATAGACTTGACCTTGAGAAAGAACATAGGATAGTTTTTATCCCCAACTTTTGAATGGTTCTCTTGGAAACGCGATATAACCGAACTCCACGCGGGCGAAACTGTGGCGGGAAGCTAGTAGATTATATTATAAATATTTCAATATTGCAATATATATTTTTTCATCATGTAACTATATCAGAGTAACTCAATACATTGTTAGTTATCTATATACATTGTGACAGGCGGATTGACACACCTCAAGTGTCCGCCACTTGCTTGGCAATATCAATACACATTCAAGGATATATGTATTGCAAAAATATTCAGATTATATAGATAATTTACATATCAATGATAATTAATATTAATTGAACTGATTTAGCCATTGTCTGTTCAATATATATGTATAAAAGAAAGTTGTGTTAGTAACACTATTTATAACTCAAGAACAGATGTAGTGATATGGTTGAAAATTAGTTAGGAGATAGCTTAGAAACAGGTGACGGACATAGGATAGTTAATTCAATTCAATCAAAGAAAACTTGATAAATTCCAATATCAATAAAAAGAGTTCGCCCGGTCAGCTATACATATATTACTAATTCCGAAATCAGTCGAGCAAAGTCGCGGGCAAAAACTAGTATATATACAATGATATGTAAATCTTTAGCAAATATTTATTTAAATGAACCTAATATGTTCGGATTATTACGCATTATTTTATTATTCTATGACGTGCATCTCATTTAGTTATCTCGTCTACCTGTGATCACGGTTGCTGCAAAATATTAGAAATAAATAAAATAAAGCGTGGGAATCCTAAAATATTAGTCTCATATATATATAACTTTATTAATATGTATGTTTTGATATATGTAGGTATATATTTTTTCTTCCTGTTACGTGTCTTGATTAAACAATAGTAACGTTTGATTCATATGAATAAATTTTATTCGCAAATGTTATCGATTGCTGTTGATTGTAGGGTGACCATGTTTTTGATAAGAAAAAAATATCATCATTACTTTTATACAAACAGTTTGTTAAACCATTAGTAGTACAATACTGAGATAAAATGAGTCATTTTTATGACTAATTCGATTACATCAACCATTATGAGTCTTCGAGATGGTTTTGAAATGTTAAACAACGATTTAATTATTGTGATTGTTAGGATATGGTTTCCTAAACGATCGATTAAACGACCGTTATTCTAACTAACATTAAGAAATACCTTAATAAGATATACCGGAACTAGCTTTCCGCCCGCAGCTTCGCCCGCGTGGAGTTCGGTTATATCGCGTTTTCAAGAGAACCTTCCAAAAGTCTGCGATAAAAACTATCCTATGTTCTTTCTCAAGGTCAACTCTATCTGTGTCAAAGTTTTGGCATGAAAGTGTAACAGACAGACAGACAGAGTTACTTTAGCATTTATAATATTAGTAGGGATTTAGACTGATAAAAAAATATTCTTAGCGGGCATTCATAAATTACGCGAGGTGTTTTATTTTTAATTTTTGACCCCCCCCTCCCCCCTTAATGAGATATTTAGATTTTATTTAATCTCACCTTTTTTATGTACGCCCCCTTATATGTGGTAAATATTTCATGTTTGTATGTACGGAATGTATGACGAGATATTATCGTAAACATATATTTTTTGTATGTTTTATTACTTGTTATTACGAAAACATAATAGGCTTTAATTTCAGTCACATTATAACATATTTTCATACAATGTCTCTAACTATTTAATAGCTAATGTTTATTCCGAGAGCCATTGTTCTTCACCATTCAATTTTCATATATAATATACACGCTGATAACATGTGCTTCATGATTAAATATTGTTATTTTAAACTATACACCTTTGTCCTTAGTTGTTGCTTATATATATATATATATATATATATATATATATATATATATATATATATATATATACAGGGTGACTGGTGAATTACTATCAATATTTAAGGAGAATACTCGGTACATGATTCTCATTCGAATTATGTAAAAAAAATAGGCACTTAATTTTTGACAAAATTTCCGTATAAATAAATAAAGTGTTGACACGTTCCAAATGTTCAAGTGTGGACGCGTGCGGCGGCGTGCTGATACAACACCACGTCACGACACGCGTATGTGTGAGTGTCAGTGTATACCTAATCTGTAGGGTGTTCACACGATGCGTAATTAATTACATAACTTTTGGTTAACTTTACTTAGAAGTTTATTAATATTTATGTTATATTAATTTTTATTTTGTCATATATGATCGTCAAATATCACGTCCTCAAATATCGATAGTAATTCACCAGTCACCCTGTATATATGTAGGGTTATATATTATTCAGTGGTGGCCTAGTGGTTAAAAGGCCCGCCTCTCATGCATAAGGGCGCGGGTTCGTCCTGAAAAGTACCAATGTGGTTTTTCCGAGTCATATGTACTTTATAAGAGTATTTAGACACCACTGATATTCGGTGAAGGAAAACATCGTGACGAAACCTTGACTTATAATTTCACAATTATAAGTTTGAAATCACCAACCCGTCTTGAGCAAGCGTGGTGATTAATACTCAAACCTTCTCCATGTGAGAAGAGGCCTTTGCTTAGCAGTGGGCTCTGATAGGCTGATGATGATGATGTAGGGTTATTTAGAACTCATTGTATTTTTAAAGTGACAGTGTAATTTTTATTTGACAGAACGTGACAGGTGTATTTATTTCTTCATCTGTGACTATTTTAATTACCTGTACATTTGAGACTTGCAGGAATGTACCTACCAGCATTTTATTACGTTCAACTGAAAATTATATAACTTTTTTTTGTATTATTCATTAAGTGAAAGGTATCTTGAATCGTTTTATAACAATATTTTTCATTCAAGCTATTATTTAATGTATGTTCTGTTGGTTTCTTAAATTTTGATGGAAATATTTGCAATACGTATGAAATGGTTGAACAGTCAAGATGGAAAAGTAGTAAACGATTCTGTGATATAGCTATCAAATGTAAAGTTTGTTGCAAATAACTGGAATTGATTAAAAAGGAATAAAAGAATGCAATAGGACTATTAAAAAAACCTTTCCTTTAATTTTCCTTTATAACACAATTTGTTTATAAAATTTTTAGCTTGTTGTGTCAATAGTGAAGACAAAATAAAAATGGTAAACAAAAAAAATGTATTGGAATATGTAATAAATTATTGACATTGGTAAAATATTGAAAAAATCCAGTGTGAATGAATCCTTAGCATAAAAATGAAAAAGTATTAGATTAATTAGTCTATATATATAAAGCTATAGCATACCAAATATGTTTCTTGAAAAAGCGAAAGTGTTTATCATTGAAGTAATTTGAATCTTATTACCCAGTAATAAAGACCTTTAAATTTAAATTGTCTCGGTCACGATCATATGATTTCACTTTCAAATTAACAAAATGCTCAAATTTTTATAGCAATCTCTTTTCTACTCGTGTTAAATTTAAATTAATAATAACTTAAATGAGTTATTGTATTTTTAATTAGTCTTTATATAATTATAAATGATTAAATTATAATTTCTACCATACATAATATGTTGTTAAGGAAAATAATATTTTAGTTGATATTATTATAGTAAAACAAGTATTAATAAATATTTACTCGTATTTATTTAGTTTAGTTTATTGCTTACCAGTTCCTTATGATTCTTTCAAATAAAAAACTTCAGGCAGACGAGCCTAGCGTGTAAAAACTGATAATAAAACATTATTTTTATATATGTATATTTTTGTTATTTTATATTTTTGTCACTTCTTCTAGTGCTAGACCAAAAAATATAAATATAAGTAAAGATTATAGAACAAAAACATATTGCATTAAAACCTACTGGTCATTTCATTATGCTGAAATAGAAAGACTCAAAAAAGGCTGTACAAATATAAGATTATAGACATTTATCTTTAAAGATATCTAAAATTTATCGGAAAAGATTCGTATACTTTTGCACACAGTTAAGTTAGTTCATTCGCCGTCTATTCAGAGAACTACGCTAGAAAACTAATGAATTGTTTTGTGGTATACAACTATAAACATAACTAACTGTAAATTTACAGCGACTTTCATTTCGCTTGCCCGTGATCACGGTTGCTGTAAAGTAATCGGAACGCTAGCAAAATGTACAAATAAAATTACATTGTTATCAGAAAAACATAGTTGAATTTAGAGTTAAAAAAATCAATAAATGACTGAAATTTCACCATCAGTTTGTATGGTACACTGCATACGGTACCATACTTCTTTTTTTCATAAAGTTTTCATTACACCATCATTCACGAACGACATAAATTATCGTCATCAGCCTATCAGAGCCCACTGCTGAGCCAAGGCCTCTTTCTCACATGGAGAAGGTTTGAGCATTAATCACCACGCTTGCTCAAAACGGGTTGGTGATTTCAAATTTATAATTGTGAAACTATAAGTCCAGGTTTAATCACGATGTTTTCCTTCACCGTATCTCATTGATGTCTAAATACTCTCAGAAAGTACATATGACTCGGAAAAATCACATTAGTACTTGCCAGGTTTGAACCCTCGGCAACGAGAGGCGGGCCCTTTAACCACTAGGCCACCACTGATTTATACATAAATTATATAAAATATTATTTAAATTTAAGCACTAATAAGACTAATACATTTTCCAGATCAAAAAAACTAAAGTCGAAGTACTGGAAACGTTGGATTGTAAGATTAAGAAGTTGGAACAGGATAGTCGTAACAAAGAGCTGACTCACCAGCGACTTGTAGGGCAGATGATGGCCAGTTCCATAGGATTATACGTCATTATAGCCATTGTATATTATTACAAGTACGTCGGAAGCAGTGAACATTGGCTTGACGCGTTGTTATACGCATCCCCTCTACTTTTACTGCCTATGTTGTGAGTATATAGAAAATTTGGTGGTTTTTTTATATAATGTTACTCAGATTTCTAATTAAATATGTTGGTATGTAAATATATATGAAGCTGAAGAGCTAATAGCAATACATTTTATGTATTATTATTATTATTATTTTTGTGAATGAGTCATTGTTGCTTGATGGTATAAATAAATAAAAAAAAAATAAAAAATACTGCACACAAAATATATATATATGTATGTACTTTGTTACCTAATTGTAAGAATAACAAGATTTTTTAAATCTATTTAGTAATGATACATACAAGGTTTAAATACATATACGAGTACATATTTCTAACAAATAAGCTGTTGCTTCTGTCATATAAACAAATTTATGACACAAAATAACTGTTGAATACATTGAGTGCTAACCTAAAATTAATGCGTTATAAGGATATATGAATGCTTATTATTATTTATTTAAATAAGTTAAAAGCTTGATAAAAAAATCGATTATTAAAAAAATTGTTCAAATATTGTTTTTGATTTTAAGTTAAAAGTAGAAAACATATTTTTGTGACACTATAAATCAATACTTATATTGTCTTTATATCACAGAATATAAATAATTATATTCTTTAAGTTCTATGATATATTATACTTGTATAGTATAATATATCATAAATTTTTTATACTGTGGTATATAAATATTGATTCTTTTTGGTCAGAGTTATATTTCTTCGAGCCTCCGTATCCAGATATTTTGATTGGACAATTACGAAGAACAGATCAAAATTAATAAGACTTAGAGAAGAGAAGAAGAAGATTCTAGAATCTGTTATGACCACAGAGACTTATAAGGCAAGTTTTATATTTATTATTTTTTATATAGAACTGTATTTAGTCTAACAATATTTGTATGGAATATTCCAGAATGTCATGATTACATGACCTTTGAAAAAAACCCTCAATTTTTTTGTTTTAAATATGTCTTACGTATAAAATAGATATTGTAAAGAATGTGTTTATTTTGTTAAATTTAATACATTTAGTGTTAACTACTTAGAAGGAAAATTACTTTAAAACTAAGGCTAATATTTAAAGCTGAACAAACTAATATATAACACGTTAATTTATTTACATAATTCGCATATATATAAATATATAGGTTTTAATTATATATAGACTCTTTTCTTAACTGTACACTACCTTTCATTCACTATTTACTATTTCGTCAAACAAAGTTTATAAAACCTTACATATTAATTATTATTTACATATTAATTATTCAGCCATAATTATTATTTGCATGTTAATTATTCAGCCAAACAAAATTTCATAAAACCTCCTTACATGTTTCTATACTGATTATTATTTTATCATTTCCAGGTTGCAAAAGAGATCCTTGACAAGTACGGAACTCCAGAGGAACAATCTAAGAGCCTGGTTGCCCAGAAAACGCTGAGCATTCCCAATAAGCCATCAAACTCGACTCCAGGTATATTCAAATACATCTTTGGCACTAAATATAAAGGCTATCAGAACATAGTATAATATCTTTATATATATAATTCTTCCGTGAGTGTGTATGTCACTGAACTTCTCTCAAACGACATGACCGACTTTGATGAAACTTTTTTGTGTGTGTTCAAGCGGATCTCCGAATGGTTTAGATTCACAATTTTGTCCGCTGGATAATGTTTTTGTTTATTAATTTTTAATTTATTAGTAGTTGTTGATACAAACGTTTTTTTGACAACTGACTAATATGTCAATCATTGTGTCGCACTTCAAAACACGGAGATTATGGCTTTAAAAGGTGAACTCCAAAAATATAAATAAAAAAACGTAGCAGATGTTTCTTGATTATAGGGCGATACGAAGTTCGCCGGGTCTTCTCGTATACATATATTTTAAAAATAACATTAATTCCATTCCATTTTTAAAATACTAAATACTATGACTTTTAAAAGACAATCTGTTCAATTCGAATATATGTAGATCATTAATTTTTTTAAATATAGACTGAATTTACTACTGAATAGGGTTTAAATAAGTGAGTGAATTTTTATATTATATACAAAAATGGATTGCTGAAATGTCATTATTGAAAGAGGTTTCATTAAAATAGTTTTTATATTTTTTTTTTTGGAGGGAAATCTAAATAGCAATTAATTACTGTATACACATGTATACTTATATATTTTCTATTATAATGTCTGTCTGTGATATTTACAAATAATGATACAGTTTATGTGAGTATTTTATATTGAGTTTAAAATATTAGTTTTATATATATAATAATTTAGTTATTACTTAAGCAATGTTAATTATATTTTTATATATTGTATTTATATTCAATTGACTAAAATGGTTTAAAAAAGGTTAATATTACTAACTGGTCAAATTCTAAATTATTATTTTGCTTGTAGTAAGTTTTGTTAATGATTATATTAAATATGTTTTGGTTTAGATTATAATATATATTATACAAAAGACAAAAGTAAACAAAATGCAGTGGTCTAAACATATAGACAAATAAAAAATATATTAAAATAGTTTTTATAAGTAGTTTTTAATAATTACCAAAGATGGCTGACTGATTTGAATTGAAATTAAATTGAACATTGTAAATATTTGTATTAGATACTAAATTATACAAAATATACAAATTCATATGTAAATATGTTTTCGTTTTTATACCTATCCCTTAAAAATGTAATGGAAATGACAAAAATGACTTTATTTTATATTTGATTAAAAAAAAACACACAAATTTTAATGTGTTTTTTGTGAAACTTAACATAATTTTTATAAATGTCTACATAATTTATGTATAGGAAAGATAATATTTTGATAAAAAGATATTGTCCTACAAAAATACCTACAAATTGTTCATAATATTTGATATTTGATCCAATATTAAAAATGTAGGTAAACTATTAATCTTATATAATTATACAATATATATTAAGATAATGTAGTAATTTAATTCTGCCAAAATTAATATTTCATATTAATCATTAATTAAATATTAACTAAGAAAATCTAACATTATTAATGTCTACAGTAGTTAATAACTAGGCCTCCATTCATACTCATAATATGCAATCAAAGTACTTTTTATCAGTTACCTGAATCAAAACTTAATATTCAGTCAAATATATATGATTTTAAATTATTCTAAAACCTTAAAATGTTACCATGTCATTGTAGTTTATAATAACAGATATTTAATGAATATTATAATTTCGTTGCAGCAACACCGGTTCAATTGCGTCAAAGACAATTGGTGTTACCAACCCCGAGGTCATTGAACCCAAGTAATATGGAGATGGAAAATACTGGAGTACAGAGTCCATTATTGCGAGTAAGTTTATCTATATTTTAAAATATATATATTTCAAACATAAGGAAAATTTCATATAGTACATTATTTATTATCTTTTCTATGGATCATTATGTTGGTTGGACTATCATGCCATTCATCAATTACTAGCTGCGCCCGCGGGGTTACCCGCGGATTTCCGGGATGTAAAGTAGCCTATGTGTTATTCCTGGACGTCAGCTTCCTGTATACAAAATTTTATCAAAATCGGTTCAGCCGTTGAAGCGTGAAGAAGTAACAAACATACACACACACTCACAAACTTTCGCTATTATAATATTAGTAGGATAAGTTATGCCAAACGATTTTTTGCTTCCGACATGATCTAACGACGCGTTTTGTTGAGATTTGAGCTGAGTATGATACATAAATATTATTCTTTGTATGATACATCAAAATTATTTTTTGTATCAATTATTCTTTGTATGCTTAGTTATAGTGGATACATTTGATAATGGGAGTTTCAAAGAAAGTGCGCAATCTATAGAAACCCCAATTAGTGATCTAGCCACTTATATTTAGATGTCAATCTCTGAGTGGATTCAGGGGTTCTATAGTCAAAACTAGCCCACACTAGCTAGAAAAGTCTTATTGTGTAGTTGGGTAACTACTTGAAATCCTAATCCTATTTACATCCTTCATAAAAGTGTATTCATTCTATTTGATTCAATTTTATTGAATTTATTTTACTCAGAGACAGCCACTTTGTCTTTATAAAGCGCAGTTTCGTTTGTGTGGAGTACCCAACGGTAACGAGAATATTAAATAGTAAATGAAAGGAAAAACTCATAAAATTTTGAAGAATCAATCAGATTTTTTTTGTATCGCTTCGTGACTGTGAATGAGACCAAACAACATGAGCTTCAAACTTTTCGTTATAGAAATATTCATGATATTAGCCTTGTCTATGAAAGCGCAAAAAATTAAGTTCTGTAGAAATGATAGCGTCTAGTTTTTGTTACGCCAGAAGAATCGTGATAGTACTTAATAAAGGAGCTATTCCAAAAATTGAATCCAAATTGCTCTTAACAGAAACCTGGATTCCACATACTTTTGCCATCTTCCTCTGTTTAACAAACACCTCGAATTTGTTTAATTTTAACTGATAATATATTTATTATTTTATAAATTTAACATATTTTAATTATAACATTTATATGAAACCAGAAGACCCAGAAAACTTCGTATCGCCCTATAATCAAGAAATATCTGTTACGTTTTTTTTTGGAGTTCACCTATTAAAGCCATAAATCTCCGTGTTTTGTATAATAATGTCAAAAAAACGTTTGTATCAACAACTACTAATAAATTAAAAAAATAATTAAAAAAACATTCTCCAGCGGACAAAATTGTGAATCCAAACCATTCCCAGATCCCCTTGAACACACACAAAAAAATTCATCAAAATCGGTCCAGTCGTTTGAGAGAACTTCAGTGACATACACACAGAAGAATTATATATATAAAGATTACCATTAAGATATAAGGCTTCTAATAATATTTAATGTTATATATTTTCAGTCCGATCAACTTCCACGCCCTATACCGCCGAGGAATCCAACTTTGTTCGACAAAGTTGTAGATTACCTGTTGAAGGACGGCCCCGAACATAGGATGGCACTTATATGTTCTAGATGCTCATCACATAACGGTATGAAATATTATCATATTAGAATTACTAGTGAATTTTTAAAGTAAAACTTGAATTGGAAGTAAGCTGGTGAATGCGTGACGAAAGCGTTACGAAAAGTGTGATCGGGAGAGGCGAACGAAAGTGAGAGGCAGATATAAGTTATTGAAGATAGATAGAGTGTTACGGTTCGTATATTACTGTAGGAGCAAGGGAGAGAGCACATTTTCTTTCTTGCTTCCTTTCATAACCAGTGCATGCATATATATATATATATATATATATATATATATATGCTAGCTGACCGGCCAAACGTTGTTTTGCCATATAAAAAAATAGGGGTTGATGATAAAAAAGTAATTAAAAAAAAAATCGTCTAAAAATAAATATTATAATAATAATTAAGGGTGAATGACTCTAATGACTTAGGAGTATGAAAAATAGATGTTGGCCGATTCTCAGACCTACTCGAAATGCTCACAAAATTTCATGAAAATCGGTTAAGTCGTTTCGGAGGAGTTCTCCGTCTAACACCGCGACAAGAGAATTTTATAAATAAGATTATATACATGTCTGTATTATACATATATAAACATATGTATTTACATATTACATATAGATAGAGCGAAAGAAGTGTTACTTCAGTTGTATGGTTTAAAGCACACTACACCGGTTTTAATTTTATTTAACACTAGCTGCGCCCTGCGGTGTTACCCGCGGATTTCCGGTATGTAAAGCAGCCTATATGTTATTCCTGGACGTCAGCTTCCTGTATACAAAATTTTATCAAAAGAAATAACAAATGCACACACTCACAAACTTTCGCAATTATAATATCAGTAGGATGTTTATAATTTCAGGTATGGCACTGATAGAAGAATTCGATTTCTTCTCATACAAGTGCGCGTACTGCGGTAATATGAATTTAGCGAGGAAGCAGCGGCCGACCGCGCCGCCTCTTATGCCAAGACCTACAAGCGTGCCAGCCATTCCTCCTACGAGAACCGTTATACCATTCAAAATGGACACCGATAATAATACATGTTAGTTACACTATCAAATATAATAGACAAAACCTCTCATCATTCCATGTATTCTTATGCGTGTGTCGGGTCCATCGTTGTAGTGAGAGGAGCTTCAACAGTGACTGGGACTTGTGACCCAGGTGTAGGTTTAATATATATAGAGAGACGAAACCTCTCATCATTCCATATATTCACGGTGCGTGTGTCGGGTCCATCGTTGTAGTGAGAGGAGCTTCAACAGTGACTGGGACTTGTGACCCAGGTGTAGGTTTAATATATATAGAGAGACGAAACCTCTCATCATTCCATGTATTCACGGTGCGTGTGTCGGGTCCATCGTTGTAGTGAGAGGAGTTTCAACAGTGACTGGGACTTGTGACCCAGGTGTAGGTTTAATATATATAGAGAGACGAAACCTCTCATCATTCCATGTATTCACGGTGCGTGTGTCGGGTCCATCGTTGTAGTGAGAGGAGCTTCAACAGTGACTGGGACTTGTGACCCAGGTGTAGGTTTAATATATATAGAGAGACGAAACCTCTCATCATTCCATGTATTCACGGTGCGTGTGTCGGGTCCATCGTTGTAGTGAGAGGAGCTTCAACAGTGACTGGGACTTGTGACCCAGGTGTAGGTTTAATATATATAGAGAGACGAAACCTCTCATCATTCCATGTATTCACGGTGCGTGTGTCGGGTCCATCGTTGTAGTGAGAGGAGCTTCAACAGTGACTGGGACTTGTGACCCAGGTGTAGGTTTAATATATATAGAGAGACGAAACCTCTCATCATTCCATGTATTCACGGTGCGTGTGTCGGGTCCATCGTTGTAGTGAGAGGAGCTTCAACAGTGACTGGGACTTGTGACCCAGGTGTAGGTTTAATATATATAGAGAGACGAAACCTCTCATCATTCCATGTATTCACGGTGCGTGTGTCGGGTCCATCGTTGTAGTGAGAGGAGCTTCAACAGTGACTGGGACTTGTGACCCAGGTGTAGGTTTAATATATATAGAGAGACGAAACCTCTCATCATTCCATGTATTCACGGTGCGTGTGTCGGGTCCATCGTTGTAGTGAGAGGAGCTTCAACAGTGACTGGGACTTGTGACCCAGGTGTAGGTTTAATATATATAGAGAGACGAAACCTCTCATCATTCCATGTATTCACGGTGCGTGTGTCGGGTCCATCGTTGTAGTGAGAGGAGCTTCAACAGTGACTGGGACTTGTGACCCAGGTGTAGGTTTAATATATATAGAGAGACGAAACCTCTCATCATTCCATGTATTCACGGTGCGTGTGTCGGGTCCATCGTTGTAGTGAGAGGAGCTTCAACAGTGACTGGGACTTGTGACCCAGGTGTAGGTTTAATATATATAGAGAGACGAAACCTCTCATCATTCCATGTATTCACGGTGCGTGTGTCGGGTCCATCGTTGTAGTGAGAGGAGCTTCAACAGTGACTGGGACTTGTGACCCAGGTGTAGGTTTAATATATATAGAGAGACGAAACCTCTCATCATTCCATGTATTCACGGTGCGTGTGTCGGGTCCATCGTTGTAGTGAGAGGAGCTTCAACAGTGACTGGGACTTGTGACCCAGGTGTAGGTTTAATATATATAGAGAGACGAAACCTCTCATCATTCCATGTATTCACGGTGCGTGTGTCGGGTCCATCGTTGTAGTGAGAGGAGCTTCAACAGTGACTGGGACTTGTGACCCAGGTGTAGGTTTAATATATATAGAGAGACGAAACCTCTCATCATTCCATGTATTCACGGTGCGTGTGTCGGGTCCATCGTTGTAGTGAGAGGAGCTTCAACAGTGACTGGGACTTGTGACCCAGGTGTAGGTTTAATATATATAGAGAGACGAAACCTCTCATCATTCCATGTATTCACGGTGCGTGTGTCGGGTCCATCGTTGTAGTGAGAGGAGCTTCAACAGTGACTGGGACTTGTGACCCAGGTGTAGGTTTAATATATATAGAGAGAGACGAAACCTCTCATCATTCCATGTATTCACGGTGCGTGTGTCGGGTCCATCGTTGTAGTGAGAGGAGCTTCAACAGTGACTGGGACTTGTGACCCAGGTGTAGGTTTAATATATATAGAGAGACGAAACCTCTCATCATTCCATGTATTCACGGTGCGTGTGTCGGGTCCATCGTTGTAGTGAGAGGAGCTTCAACAGTGACTGGGACTTGTGACCCAGGTGTAGGTTTAATATATATAGAGAGACGAAACCTCTCATCATTCCATGTATTCACGGTGCGTGTGTCGGGTCCATCGTTGTAGTGAGAGGAGCTTCAACAGTGACTGGGACTTGTGACCCAGGTGTAGGTTTAATATATATAGAGAGACGAAACCTCTCATCATTCCATGTATTCACGGTGCGTGTGTCGGGTCCATCGTTGTAGTGAGAGGAGCTTCAACAGTGACTGGGACTTGTGACCCAGGTGTAGGTTTAATATATATAGAGAGACGAAACCTCTCATCATTCCATGTATTCACGGTGCGTGTGTCGGGTCCATCGTTGTAGTGAGAGGAGCTTCAACAGTGACTGGGACTTGTGACCCAGGTGTAGGTTTAATATATATAGAGAGACGAAACCTCTCATCATTCCATGTATTCACGGTGCGTGTGTCGGGTCCATCGTTGTAGTGAGAGGAGCTTCAACAGTGACTGGGACTTGTGACCCAGGTGTAGGTTTAATATATATAGAGAGACGAAACCTCTCATCATTCCATGTATTCACGGTGCGTGTGTCGGGTCCATCGTTGTAGTGAGAGGAGCTTCAACAGTGACTGGGACTTGTGACCCAGGTGTAGGTTTAATATATATAGAGAGACGAAACCTCTCATCATTCCATGTATTCACGGTGCGTGTGTCGGGTCCATCGTTGTAGTGAGAGGAGCTTCAACAGTGACTGGGACTTGTGACCCAGGTGTAGGTTTAATATATATAGAGAGACGAAACCTCTCATCATTCCATGTATTCACGGTGCGTGTGTCGGGTCCATCGTTGTAGTGAGAGGAGCTTCAACAGTGACTGGGACTTGTGACCCAGGTGTAGGTTTAATATATATAGAGAGACGAAACCTCTCATCATTCCATGTATTCACGGTGCGTGTGTCGGGTCCATCGTTGTAGTGAGAGGAGCTTCAACAGTGACTGGGACTTGTGACCCAGGTGTAGGTTTAATATATATAGAGAGACGAAACCTCTCATCATTCCATGTATTCACGGTGCGTGTGTCGGGTCCATCGTTGTAGTGAGAGGAGCTTCAACAGTGACTGGGACTTGTGACCCAGGTGTAGGTTTAATATATATAGAGAGACGAAACCTCTCATCATTCCATGTATTCACGGTGCGTGTGTCGGGTCCATCGTTGTAGTGAGAGGAGCTTCAACAGTGACTGGGACTTGTGACCCAGGTGTAGGTTTAATATATATAGAGAGACGAAACCTCTCATCATTCCATGTATTCACGGTGCGTGTGTCGGGTCCATCGTTGTAGTGAGAGGAGCTTCAACAGTGACTGGGACTTGTGACCCAGGTGTAGGTTTAATATATATAGAGAGACGAAACCTCTCATCATTCCATGTATTCACGGTGCGTGTGTCGGGTCCATCGTTGTAGTGAGAGGAGCTTCAACAGTGACTGGGACTTGTGACCCAGGTGTAGGTTTAATATATATAGAGAGACGAAACCTCTCATCATTCCATGTATTCACGGTGCGTGTGTCGGGTCCATCGTTGTAGTGAGAGGAGCTTCAACAGTGACTGGGACTTGTGACCCAGGTGTAGGTTTAATATATATAGAGAGACGAAACCTCTCATCATTCCATGTATTCACGGTGCGTGTGTCGGGTCCATCGTTGTAGTGAGAGGAGCTTCAACAGTGACTGGGACTTGTGACCCAGGTGTAGGTTTAATATATATAGAGAGACGAAACCTCTCATCATTCCATGTATTCACGGTGCGTGTGTCGGGTCCATCGTTGTAGTGAGAGGAGCTTCAACAGTGACTGGGACTTGTGACCCAGGTGTAGGTTTAATATATATAGAGAGACGAAACCTCTCATCATTCCATGTATTCACGGTGCGTGTGTCGGGTCCATCGTTGTAGTGAGAGGAGCTTCAACAGTGACTGGGACTTGTGACCCAGGTGTAGGTTTAATATATATAGAGAGACGAAACCTCTCATCATTCCATGTATTCACGGTGCGTGTGTCGGGTCCATCGTTGTAGTGAGAGGAGCTTCAACAGTGACTGGGACTTGTGACCCAGGTGTAGGTTTAATATATATAGAGAGACGAAACCTCTCATCATTCCATGTATTCACGGTGCGTGTGTCGGGTCCATCGTTGTAGTGAGAGGAGCTTCAACAGTGACTGGGACTTGTGACCCAGGTGTAGGTTTAATATATATAGAGAGACGAAACCTCTCATCATTCCATGTATTCACGGTGCGTGTGTCGGGTCCATCGTTGTAGTGAGAGGAGCTTCAACAGTGACTGGGACTTGTGACCCAGGTGTAGGTTTAATATATATAGAGAGACGAAACCTCTCATCATTCCATGTATTCACGGTGCGTGTGTCGGGTCCATCGTTGTAGTGAGAGGAGCTTCAACAGTGACTGGGACTTGTGACCCAGGTGTAGGTTTAATATATATAGAGAGACGAAACCTCTCATCATTCCATGTATTCACGGTGCGTGTGTCGGGTCCATCGTTGTAGTGAGAGGAGCTTCAACAGTGACTGGGACTTGTGACCCAGGTGTAGGTTTAATATATATAGAGAGACGAAACCTCTCATCATTCCATGTATTCACGGTGCGTGTGTCGGGTCCATCGTTGTAGTGAGAGGAGCTTCAACAGTGACTGGGACTTGTGACCCAGGTGTAGGTTTAATATATATAGAGAGACGAAACCTCTCATCATTCCATGTATTCACGGTGCGTGTGTCGGGTCCATCGTTGTAGTGAGAGGAGCTTCAACAGTGACTGGGACTTGTGACCCAGGTGTAGGTTTAATATATATAGAGAGACGAAACCTCTCATCATTCCATGTATTCACGGTGCGTGTGTCGGGTCCATCGTTGTAGTGAGAGGAGCTTCAACAGTGACTGGGACTTGTGACCCAGGTGTAGGTTTAATATATATAGAGAGACGAAACCTCTCATCATTCCATGTATTCACGGTGCGTGTGTCGGGTCCATCGTTGTAGTGAGAGGAGCTTCAACAGTGACTGGGACTTGTGACCCAGGTGTAGGTTTAATATATATAGAGAGACGAAACCTCTCATCATTCCATGTATTCACGGTGCGTGTGTCGGGTCCATCGTTGTAGTGAGAGGAGCTTCAACAGTGACTGGGACTTGTGACCCAGGTGTAGGTTTAATATATATAGAGAGACGAAACCTCTCATCATTCCATGTATTCACGGTGCGTGTGTCGGGTCCATCGTTGTAGTGAGAGGAGCTTCAACAGTGACTGGGACTTGTGACCCAGGTGTAGGTTTAATATATATAGAGAGACGAAACCTCTCATCATTCCATGTATTCACGGTGCGTGTGTCGGGTCCATCGTTGTAGTGAGAGGAGCTTCAACAGTGACTGGGACTTGTGACCCAGGTGTAGGTTTAATATATATAGAGAGACGAAACCTCTCATCATTCCATGTATTCACGGTGCGTGTGTCGGGTCCATCGTTGTAGTGAGAGGAGCTTCAACAGTGACTGGGACTTGTGACTCAGGTGTAGGTTTAAGGGACCCTATCTAACGTTAATCGCTCACCTCCACCGTACACGCTCCTCTCTCTGTATAAAGGTTTTATTAACATAGATTAGGAAAGACGAATTCAAACGTGATATTAGATTTTCCTTATCGATCTAAGCTTTTTTATATTACTAATCGGTTGGCTATCTACCTTGTTGAGATCGTTTAAAATCAATCTACTATTTCTTCTAAAGATGGAGTACGACCTATATTATCAATCTTACAACCTAGAAATTTAAAAGCAGTATTCTCAAATTCTTACATTTACATGAAAATTCTATGTTATTTATGTTATAGTTCATATTATTAATATTCATCATTGTCAATACCATTTCAGGCAGTAGTGACGAATCATCAGACGCTGAAACCGTAAGAAGCGGCGAAGATGAGGATAATAGACAGGCTAACGGTTAGAATTATATAATCTATCTACATTATCATAATATTGAAATATGTTCATACATAACATCACTTTTATTTAAATGAAACTAATATTTTTCATATACTATTGGTCAATCTGTCCTTGTCAATTTCGTATACCGTTACTCAGAACGTCAATTTGAAAATCTGACTGCCGTGCATCGGACCGATGTAGTCTAATAAGAGGATAAAGTAACCGCGTAGTATATAAATATTATTTTCATTTAAATGAATAAAACTTTAGAAAGTGTTAGATCTCATTAACAATTTTATTTATTAAATACATACTAGAAAAGTAACAAAAAATCCACGATAATGATTACAAATATGTTCAAAATTTTTTCAACACCCTATATATATGTACACGCTGTATATAAATGTTTGCGTTTTGTTTAAGGTGAAACAATTCGCTCGCCCTCTCCCGTGGAAGAGATTAAATCGGCAGAGGAGAAAAAAGAAGACTGATTATAATTAATATTAATTATTTATTAAAAAAAATAACTTCCAATAAACGTGCCTCTTACCCATTAATATAAGGAAATTTTTAATATATATGTCAATTGATGAATAAAAATACAATACAGAAAACGAAAATAAATGTAAGGATGATACATCGATACTCTATGGCGCTCGAATTGTTGTTTGTTACAAGAACCGCGTATAGATGTCAGCAAATACATATTTCTTAATTATATAATATTAACAGTGTCTTATTTTACATTAATAGTGTTTTTAACATAGAAACGGTTGTTACTTCCTCATATATATGCTATTGGATGGGACCTAGCAGTTCATTGTATTAAAAGTTAGTATCAAGAAACAATATCCAAATATAGCACTATAAATTTTATACCAAATATATATACTAGCTTTCCGCCCGCAGCTTCGCCCGAGTTGAGTTCGGTTATATCGCGTTTCTAAGAGAACCTTTCAAAAGTCTGGAATAAAAACTATCCTATGTTCTTTCTCAAGGTCAACTCCATCTCTGTAACAAATTTCATTAAAATTAGTTCAGTGGTTTAGGCATGAAAGCGTAACAGACAGACAGACAGAGTTACTTTCGCATTTATAATATTAGTATAGTATATTATACAGATAATTAATAGTTATTATAATTTCATTGCAGCAACACCGAGTACATTCCGGCAGAGGCAATCACTAAAGTCGTCGACTTAAATTCAGAACCTCATGAAACGATGTTGTAAGTAAGTTCGGCCTTATTGTCTAGGAAATAGGTTTTAAAATAGATATTTTAGAATGGGCGATTCTACTTAATCTCACGATGTATAATTATGTCAACACAATTACATATGAGAAGAAAACCTCTCATCATTCAATGTATTCATATGCGTGTGTCGTGTCCATCTTTGTAGTGAGAGGAGCTTCAACAGTGACTGGGACTTGTGACCCAGGTGTAGCTTTAAGGGGTCCCTATCTAACGCGTTAAACGCTCACCTCCATTGTCCAAGCTCCTCTCTCTACCTAGCAAAATTTGAAAAGAACTTACTAGGGCTTGCTTTCGAAGTACGTTCCAAGAATGAATTAATGTGAATTCTGGACAGGCCCAAGTCTTTTCATAGATTGTAGATAGATTTAGCCGTTATACCTCTCGCTCCCACTTTTGCAGCTTACAAATTTACTGAGAACTAAGTATAGTCTTAGTGCGAGTTCGTTAGCGAGCTCGTAATATTTGTTGATCTTGATGGCATAGTCTTTGAGGATGTTGGTTTCCCAAGGAATCGTAATCTCTATGAACACAATGAATACGCAATTTTGAAGTAGGTTTGTAAATTATATCATGATATATGAATTAATTCTTGGATTTCGCACACAAAATAGGTTTTTTTTGTGTAAAACAGAAACCTCATTGTAAAGGATTTAATAAAATCATTGTCATTAAGTGAAATTATATATAATATTTTATTAATATTTGAAGTACATTTGATTAATAGTTTGACTGTGATGTTCGACTGGTTAGAGGCTAAAAGTTTAAACTAATAAAGTTCAGCGCACCGATCGACTCAGTCCCGAAAACTAACAACTAGAATTCCAAACCGTGGTTCACGACAGGTTTTTGGTTGTCTTTAACAAAATATCTAAATACTTGACCTATGGCCCAAATTCTGGCGTTAATAGACGTTTCCCTATAATTTCGACAGCTAAATAAACATATCTAAACATATATAAAGCTATAAATTCTCTACCATAAAACTCAATGTTTTTACCAGATCATAGAACGTCTTTTGTAGATTTGTGCCTTTTTTTAAGATGATATTATCCACTGATCGCCAATATATCTTTTAAATGTTACAGTGAAAGCAACCCTTTTCCACTTGTAGATTTATGAATGTATTATTCTTAGTAAGTTCGAATATTTACGAATAATATTCACCAAATTTTTTTCGCAGAAAAATACAAAAATTCTCTCTTCTTCCTGGCAATTTCCCAGCCTTAGCCATCGTCTGAGAAATACAATAAATAATGCTGGTATAATTCTGTTGTTTTGTATCAGAATGTGCGATATCATCGTCTCTGTTGAGTTCGTCGGAGCGCCCTCACTGTTGCTCCAACGGTAACTTCCGTCCCATACAGTGTCGTAGAGGCAGCTGTCACTGCGTGGACTCTGACGGCCGGCAGGAAGGAATGCAGACAGCTGACATCAACAGTCTGCCTTGTTACACGGGTAACTGGAGAAACTGTTGATTAATACTTTTATAGCATTATCTTAGTAATTCAAAATTAGTCATTAATATTAATAAATTGTTTTCAATGTTTGTAATAGTGCTGTTATTATTTCTACCTCAATATTATCAATTTTTTGTGGCTGTAATCGACAATGACTACGTTCTCCTTTAATATTAAGTTTTAGTTATAAATTGTTTATTGGTGATGTGAAAAATTCTCACTGGGTAGATTGGTTTTAATATTCTAATCGTAATGAGGATTAAGATCTGCAGTTTTTAGAGTATTAAGTGTGAGTCACTGGCAAATAAGCTTTTGTGTTCTGAATCCAATCTCTGATGGAACTATTAAAAATCTTAAATGGGTACACTAATTGAAAAGAATCGGTTTTTTTAATTGCTTCTTACTGTTTATGTATTTTGTGCATAGGTTAGGCGCTGCGATAAGAATCCCGTGGTACACATTTTTTGTTTTATTATCAGGCAGTCAGGCAAAAACAAACAAGCAGATGGTCTTCCAATGAAATTGCCCCGTAAAATTGACCATGACAAAAACACGGATTCTCCACATTCAAACCACAAATTTTCAATGATTGCCCATGGGATCGGAAATCGTAGTCTTAAACTCAAACAGCATATAGGATCTTAGGAATAAGAACTTCATTTATATTTTTCTTAATGAGTATCGATCGTTGTGTGAAACATTTGTTCTTACTACCAGTAGTTGCACAGTTTTGGTGGTTTTTGGAAGCATATATATTGGGAGCCAAATTTTCTGTGTAAATTGTGGTGTGGTGAGCAAAATACATTCAAGGCGTTTAGAAATGCAATTAGTTTGCGACTTTGTTTTCATGTATTGAACAATCGATAGATATGAATTAAGGTATTGTGCCAATGTCTTGTACTGAATCTTGTGGTCCGTATTTTTATTGCTCGCCTCTAAATTTTCCAAGCTATGTTGTTTGGGACTACTTTGCTAAGGTCTTTTGTGAGATAAAAATTACAGAAATTATGAGGAAATTAAATCAATCCGTGTAATTCTGACAGGTACTCGACTTTTACTGATAGTCTGTTAAAGCTCTGAGATATAATACGAATATTTTTCGCTAAATAATGCAACTCTCGTGATTGTTGTTCATTAAATTTTCTTCACAAAGACTTGGTGATTTTAGACAAGTGTTTATTGCATCGTCAGCTGTTGATCTTGGAGTTGTTGGCAGTATTTGGCGGTTTTTTTAAATGTGAAAGGTGGCAAACAAGCAGACGGCCCACTTGATGGAAGGTAGTTATCGTCGCCCATGGACATCCGCAACATCTTTGTTGCGAATTCGTTGCCAACCTTGTTTTTTAGGGATAGGGAGGGGTGGGAATAAGGAAATGGTAGAAAAAGGTGGGAATAGGTAAAGGGCAACCGGCTCTCTCAATCATCGGACGAAACGAAGCCATTAAAGGCTACTTCACGCCGATCTTATTTATTTATTTATAGGTTCTCTAGTGATTTTTACACAAATGTATATTTCAATAACGTTACATAAAATTATAAACTGTAAAATCGGTTAAAAGCAAACACTGCATGCAAACATAATTCTTTCTTCTAAGTATTGTTTGATAAATATAAATCTAAAAAATAATTAATAGCAATTTACATTATATATTAATTAATGATAAACTTAAAATAAGTTCATAAACATTCTAAAAATGGATAAAATCATATGATTATGATAAAAGTTATATAATATAAGATTAATTCATTTAAAATACAAAGTGACATTAATAAATAATAATTAAAAACATTCAAAACGAGAATAATCAAAATACAGACTAAAACTTTGCAAAAAATTAAACAATTAAAATAATTCAATGAACATAACAAAATTCATCGTAATTGGCTGATTACGTTGTTTACAATTAATTTCCAAAAGGTATTAGGCGAATTTAAATTAATATCTATTAAATTTCTCAAACTCTTATAGATTTTGCATAAACGGGGAAGGCTAGAATTGGCACTGAAAACTGTTCTTGTGCCCACGCACACAAGTCTTCTCCACAGACACAAGGGGAGTAAAAGCATGTCACGGATATCTATTAGGCACTCTGGAATTTATTTTACTGGGTAAACTAGGGCAGTCCAAATGATTTCTTAATCTTTATATATATAATTCTTCTGTGAGTATGTATGTCACTGAACTTCTCTCAAACGACTGGACCGATTCTGATGAAATTTTTTGTGTGTGTTCAAGGGGATCTGGGAATGGTTTAGATTCACAATTTTGTCCGCTAGACAATGTTTTTTTAATTAATTTTTAATTTATTACTAGTTGTTTATACAAACGTTATTTTTTGTCATTAGATTTGACAACTAACTAATATGTATGTCAATCATTCTGTCGCACTTCAAAACACGGAGATTTGTGGCTTTAATAGGTAAACTCCAAAAATATAAATAAAAAAATCGTAACAGATATTTCTTGATTATAGAGCGATACGAAGTTCGCCGTGTTTTCTAGTAGTTTATATAAGAACAAAAGATCTAGTAAGTCTCTTCTTTTGTCAAGGCTCATCATTTGAAATTAGTTTAATCTATCCTGATATGAGGTTATCGTTTTGTGAATTTTACCGGAATATGATAAATGCCATAAAAAGCGTTTTTGACCGCGCACCCGTCTTAAGTAATGGCATATTGTGGACACCAGACAACGCTGAAATACTCCAGGTGACTACGAACAAGACTATTGTTATTTTTGTAAAGCGTTATTTTTGTTTTAGCTTCTTTAAAATTTCGACCTTGTCTCATGATAAATCCAAACATTTTTAAAGCTTTTTGTATTACATTATCCAAATGATTGGTAAAAGTCAATTTTTTATCTAATATAATGCCCAAATCGCTTATAAGATCAACCTCCTTTAGTGCAAGTTATATTGTGTTTATATGATGTTAAAATTAAGCATTCCTCACGATTAAGCTGCATGCTATTAGATTCACAGCAGTCTATAAGCTTATTGAAGTAAGATCGCATCACTCGTTGTAGATATTGTTCGAGTGATTTTTAAATCATCGGCATAAAAGTATGGCGTGGAGTTTTCAAAACGGAATACTATCTTCTGTGAATGGTGTACTTCCCCGGTCGAGCCAGCCCATGTTCGAGCTGTAGTAACTGACCACAGCTAGGCTCTACCGCCTAAAGTTATTGGGGCACTGGTAAATCATCACTACTTTAAATCATTTTGAAATTTAAATCATTCTTTACAGTATTTCTATATTGGGTTATATGTTTTCAACACACGTCCAATATTGAACGTCAAAATTCGTCCCAAATGATGATTTTCGATGCTGATAAAATTTTACATTTCTGAGTTCTTTGCACTTTGGTTCATAAATAATTTGTGAATTTAACGGGGAATTTAATACTAAATAAACTGTACGGCTGTGACCGTGTTAATTATTTCCAAGTCATGCATGGGAAGTTGAAAAGTCTTGAACGTTTTGAGTTCCGTATCCTTGTTCTGTGTGTATTCTTTGATGCAATGGTGAAATCTTTCCAAAGTGTCCATTTAAGTTTCCTGCAATATATTTTGTTTCATCAAGCGTGTGAGATAGCATAAGGACATCAACATGTGTTTCTGTCTGTCTGTGGTGCATAAACTGATATCACGTTGATGCATTGCTGGTTTTCCATTGAAAATTTGATATCAATGATACGGTCACTAACGTTTGATATTTATAGTGCGTTCTTGTAGGTGACTGTCGATGGCCTAACTACGCAATATTGTTTTGTATTAGACCCATGATATATAAGTTTATATCCATTTCTGATCCAGCTTCAGACCCTTTCCACTTGGTTTCCTTAATGCAACAAACATTGACCTTGCGTCTAAATAATATTTCATTCAATTCTGCGCTGCGTCCAATCATAGATCTCATATTCCAAGTAGCTATTTACATTTTTGGAGTATATTGGTGCACCCACGACTTAATCGTCGCTTCGGGTTGATAAGTTGATAAGCCTGGTGTTTCACTATATTAGTCGGTTGATAAGGAGCTCTCCACTCGTAATCGACATTCTAAGATTCGATCGTACATCTTCATTATATGGCACATCTACTTTATGCCCCGAAAATTGTTGTATTTGTACCTATTTCCTTTGCCTTTATAATAATAATAATAGTTTATTTGTACGAATATGCGTTAACAAAGGTATTTCATACATTTAAACAGTGGTCAAACATATTCTGCCGATTTGGCGAGCAAATGTTTTGAATAAACTAATACTACTAATGAATTTACTACAATTACAAATATAAAGTTTATAGTTCACAATTTAAATAAATAATTTTCAATATCATCATTATAAATAAATAGTTATTTGTCAGTTAATTGAAATAAAATTACAATATTATTTATAATTTAAAATTTGTCGTTAAGATATTCATTTATACTATAATACAGTTTATCTATCTATATGGACATTTGAAGGCAACTTCTACTTCTTGAGGTGTTATGAGGGATATTACTCTTAAGATTTTCTCATGTTTGGAAGATTATCTGTTCTTGTTGTTGTGTTTACAAGCAGTTCGTAGTAGGTAAATTATATAGGGTGGCAACCGTAGGTTCCAGGAAAACTACGAAATTTATTTATATGTATATTAAAATACGAATTACATGTTAAAACTTATAACCTATATCTAAGACTACATGATTGCCCCGATGCTAGGATGACAATGGCATTCTATTGTTTGTGTAGTATGTGGAATCTTCTGGGTCACACGGCTTGGTGTTGGTTCCGCTGAGTCAGCGGCGTCACTCGTTATATGATATTTTACCGATACAAACATGTCGCCCCTGCGATGTTCATTTTTTTTCTTCGTATGTAGCGCGTACGTAACAGGTATGCCATGCTGCCAAAATGTCCTTTTTAAATTTAAGTTTACAAAACTGACTTACAACTAATGCATACAAAATAACATCTAAGCTAAAACAGAGTGTCATTAAGTTGCAGTCTTCTAGATGTAAACCTAGCATGCTTTAACAACATATACCTTGCTTAGTTAATAATAACAGTACTTGTGTAATTCTCCGTATATGTACATCATGGACCTTTATTGATCTTTAATGATCTTTGTTCTAGTTTGATCTTGCGTTGCTCTATAACGGGCTTTTGAAATCTTTTAGGTTTTTTTTTGTCCCTATCTACTTTAGAGTGTTCCGTAAAGTCCCTAATGCATTTTTCCTCTTAATGGCTACAGTTTTCTTTGCCTTCTTGTTTGCTTCCTTGTTGCCCTGTCCGTCTGAGATCTGGTGGATTACCAAATTTTAAATGTGCGCTTCCTCTCCTATAACGCTGCTTGTATTGAGGAATTTCACTACCATGTTTCTTTGGGTGTTTTCTGCCCAGGCTTAGAACAGCTATGATATGTGGGTAACCCTGTTTCCATATTGAGTTTATCTCGTCGTCCATGTTCAAATTAATCTTTCGAGTTATTTTTTAAATTGATCAGCCTTATCTTCTTTAATAACCACCACTTTGTGATTTCTGCTAAATTTTGAGGTTTCCTAGCCTTTTTTCCATGAAATACCATGTCTATGACTACTACCCTCTTAAGACCTGAGATTGAACTAAACATGTTAATAATGTTTTTTTGTGGTTTATAAGACACACAATTTTTTAAATATTTTTTTTTTATTAATACAAGTACAAAAAAAAGGTGGTGCACATATGTGTACCTCACGTTTCAGTGTGAGCCGAAGGTCTTGTAGCTGTGGTAACTTTCAAAACAATTATTTCTGAGCACACATAAGTACACATTGCATTTCACAAACCTGGTTCAATGGTTATTTTGTACAGGCGTCGAATTATTCCATTGAACGTTGAGTAGGTTAAAATCGCCTGAAATAATGAAGTTGTCAAAAGGTTTTAATTGAACAATATTATTAAGAGACCTTTCTGCTGCTTCGATACGTTTGGCCTGTATATCGTTAGGAGGAATGTAAAAATTGCTATCCAACAATTTATTATAATAAATACCGTGTCGAATATTTCATAGCAAATTGTGAGTATTGAAATTTGAGTGTGTTATGTATAATTGTTATATTTATGAGTAATAATGAAATAAAACATTGAACTCGTGGCACACAATTTACTGTTTCAACGTAGACTGACAACTGTCACAAACATTATTTATCTACCTACTATATGAATTTGTTACAAACACTATAATAATGAAGATCAGTCTTTTACAAAATAAATTATTCTAAACATAAATAAAAAACAATTAACCAGCAGTGTATATAATAGAAAAAAGTAAACTATGTCATTTTTAAGAGACTTTTTTCGGAAGTTATAGACAAAACTGGGGCTTCGTTTCTTCGTAGTTTGTTTCCTATCCATACAAATTCATATCCCTTTGAAAAAGCCAGCTATTTTAAGACTCATTTAAGCTAGTCGACAGCAGATTTTGCGATAGCACATCTCCTTCGAATCTCGTCTTCAAATCCTTCAGTGTTTGTGATAGTGAACCGAGGTACACATAAGAATGCACAACATCACAGTTGCTGATCATTTTATTTAGAACTACCAACAAAAGATACAATAATTCGTGTACAGTAGTAATTTTAGTATGTAATACATTTCTATTGTTCTTTTACTTAAAGGTAATTACAGCATGCAATTTGTTATAGGCAATCAACGACTAACAGAGTTACATTAATAAAAATAATAGACATACAATTGTGTAAAAAAACATGATTACAAAATACAGGATTTTTCCTAATTTATGTAAAAAATAAAAATTGTGAAAAAAAAGCTAATACAACTATGTAAGAATCCATTAAATAATCAAAGTACGACGTAATGGTGACAAAAAATTGTTAACAAGTATTAAAAAAATCACGATATAAAAATAATATATAAAACACAGATAACATGACATCATAACTATTTATTTATTTATTTTATTAGGAAGCCAACATAATGTACAATGATCTTACGAAGTACACTACAATTAAAGGCTAACTCAGCATGCATTCATAAAATATATATATGTATATAACAAAGCAACATATTAAATAATAATTATTTATATTCTAAGCAAAGTTTTTTAGAGGTGAGGCGATTTTATTCTTAAAGGAGTAGATACTATCATACAAGATGTCTATTTCATTGATTCCAGTCGATAGCTCGTTATACGTACTAGCTAGTCTGTTTATTCCCGAATTTTTTCCTAGGTTGGTTTTTTTGTTTAGTAGTTACAAATAACGGTGACTTGTATCTAGGTATTCTGAAAGACACGTTAAAATAAATCATAGATAGGTTTTGTGGGCAATCAATTTTATTATTTAATAATTTGTGAAGAAACGTTAGGTCTAAAAGTTTTTTTTGACAATTAAAAGTCAGTAAGTGGTAGTTATTAAGTTGGTCCTGGTACTTTTCGCCCGCAAGTTATTAAATCTATAATGTAAAACTTCTTTTGCACTCTCTCGATTGTACATATTAATATGAATTTTATATTGAGGGCTTCAGACAAAAGAACAGTATTCAAGTTTACTTCTAAACACGGAGTTGTAAAGTTATGATTGTATATGATTGTATATACTTATGTAGCTCCTTAGAGTTTCTCAATATGAATCCCAAAGACTTGAATGCGGATGTTGTAATGTGCTCGACGTGAGTATTTAATTGAAGCTTCGAGTCCAAAATAACTCCTAAATCTTTAATAGTTTGCACCTTTTTTATAGTAACACCAGATATATTGTACGCACTTTCTATAGTATTTCTTTTTCGTGTAAACTGAATATGGTAGCATTCCTTGATGTTTAATTTCATTTTATGTAATTTGCACCAGTTTTCAAGGCGATTAATATCTTCTTGTACTTGTGTCACGTCATTGTGAGTGTTAATGGTCTTTGCTGCTGTGTAATGAGCTCATCGATCTGGTTCAATGTACCTGATGTAATTCTTATGACGGTACCGATGTCGGTTTTGACGAGCTGCCACTGTTGGTCGCTGGCGGTACTGTGGCACTTCTTGGTGGAAGGGTCGATGAGTTTTGTTACTTTTTTGGCTATCTCGTTCGTCAGTCTGGCTGTGTCTTTGATCTGTATGTGAGGGTCCCGTGTTTCGAACTCTAGCTATTTCCTTATGTCCGTTGTTTCCTTGAGGTTTGTGGCTAGTGTTTCCCTTGTACTCCTCATTTCGGCGGTGATTTCTTCTAATCTCTTTGAGTAGGCTCTTTCCAGTCGGGCAAGCTCCTGCGCGTGGAGTGATCTCTCTTTTTCCGGATTATTTTTATGTCTTGATCTGGAATCAGAGAGGGATAGTACAATCTCGTAAAGGGCCTGCATACTTTCAAGGGCTGTTGTTTTGAGCTTTTTTTTGATATTTGTCGCCTGTTCCAGAGTTTCTTTACCGTTCAGGAGTAAGGTGTTAACCTCGTTAGTAGCAGCGTCCATCTCTACTCCTCTGCCTCTCTTGGTGGTGAATAGCAGGCTTTTTCTCCCCTTTCTCTGCAATGGGACTGTGTCATTGTCGGGGAAATAAGATGGAATGGAGCCCACCGAGCTGTCGCTATCCTCCGAAGCCGGATCTCGTCCTGTGTTTTCGGAGGATTGTCCGTCCTGGTTAACGCTGTCTATGACAGAGCTGGCGGATGAAGAGGGCGAGGGCGTCGCTTCTTCGGTGGTTTGTCTCGATTCTGGAGTCAGGACGGGGCTGTCGCCGGGGACTCGTGCTAGGTCTTCCTCTCCTTGCAGGTTTCTCGTCGCTGTTTTACAACATTGGTTTTTTTTTACTGGTGTATACAACATTGGTTTTTTTTTTACTAAAATACAGACTAAACGGTATAAAACTGAGATATATTTATTTACTCTTTAATGTACACCAATATAGACAGAAATAACAAGAGAAAAACAAAGAAAGGAAAATGTACAAATAGGCGGAGATAAAACAAAGCAAAATAAGAACTAGGTTAAAACAAAGTTAAAAACTAAGAAACAAAACTGATAACAATATTAATCTACTTAATCTAGGTAGGAGAGGGAAGTATAGTGCTATAAATAATTGTCAACCATTACTACAATCGTTATTCGTCGTAATTTATAGCATCTAACAAATTTGGCACAATCTTGAGGATGAAAAATGTCGATATCACCCTTAGACGAAAGTTCGTTATACATATGATGTCATGAGTCTGTTCAAAGGAGAATATTTTCCTACGTTGGTCCTGGAACTTTTCTATCATACCCCTCCCCGTCTCCCGACGGAGAGGGGATGCGTATAGCATTTTTATCCCAGTGCGCACAAAAAAAAAAAAAAAAAAAAAGGTAGGGACAATTACGATCTTTACAAGCCAGGAAACGAGTGAAGTTAAGCTGGACACGTTCGATTCTATTGATATGAATATTATAGTGGGGGTTCCAGATAGGAGATGCATATTCTAGGTTACTGCGAATTGGTGCTTTGTACAGGGTCAAGATAGAGGCAGGGTTTTTAAAATCTTTACAAATCCTTTTAACTAGCCCGGTTATCTTCCAGGCTCGTAATGTTATATTGTCAATGTGTTCTACGAAGCTTAATTTTTTGTCCATTTAAAATAAATTTCATTAATAAAAAACATACTCGGGTTTAAGAACTTTATTTAAAAGAATTTACATTCACTTAAAACAATACTACAATTATAAAAATATTGTTGGGTAGTTTGACAATTCGTACGGTGCACTCGATGCATAGAAACAAAGAACTTTTGCAACTGGAAATGTTAACATACCGAAGTTTAGAAGTTTGATATACTGTTAAAAAATATTTGATATGCAATGTATTATACAGTAATTTATTAAACGTAGTTTCTGTAAATATCGTTATTGGTTTAAGGTTCCATATACAGGCATTAGAACTTGATTCACTGTTTGAAGAATCTGCCTCCACTCTTCGTCAAACATGAAAGGATGGCTTATTGGAAAGCTTCCACGCTCGTTCTAGGCATAGCGAGCAAGATACAGCTTGAAGTAGTAAGGATTTAGTTCAACCCTGTAGTATTGATGGATCGAACAAAGGTCGTGCACTGTTGCCTTGTCCCAAGCACTCATCATACGACTATACTCGGCAACAGACGCCAAGCCGACTCTAATGGCTGCTGGTAGTGGCACGGCTAACGTTTGGACTATTATTTAAGCGAGTCAATTGCGCGTTCTAATTCTGCTGTGGACTTGTCAAATACACCAAGTCTCTTCATTGCTTGCCTAGCGTTCATCTTCTTTCTAAAATTTAACTATTGACGTTCGCGGGCTCCTATTCCACTCCTTTTCTTGTGAGCGGTAGATGACGGCTCCACTATGGGTACATTTTCTGGATCTTTCTCCATTTTGCTGACTAAGTACGTAAATTGAGTAAATATACTGGTGCAATCATTTTCTAAGCCGAATATTATTCTTTCTCTTAGCCCTCTTAAGATAGTCTATTTCTTTCTTTAACTTTTCTACTTGAACTTTGTTTCTTATTCTCTTCTATGATAGGGATTAGTTTTTCATCCATCTTTTCCATAATACTATTTGTTATAGACTAATTCAATTGAGCATTTTGACTTTGCATTTCTAATTTAATTTTTTCAAATAATAATTGGAATTGACCTTCCATCTTATATATTTTTCTGCGTGGAACGAAACGAAGAATGTAGTAGATTGTTTTTTTCGATTGGCAACACTGTGTAATGTCGGATTTATTGACGTTTATGACAAGTGTCACTGAGTGAATGATTTGTCAAAATCGTGTTTTTTTAACCTCCAGAAGTTGATATTGTTGTTGAAAATCCTCAACGGATCCCAGTAGTGGCACTTCACTGTATGTTTTGATCACCTCCAAGAGGTCCCGATATTGTATCGACGAATTCTGTCCACCAGAAATAACGTTTACTAATTTATATCGTTTAATTTCACTCGGAGTTTATCACTACGGTGTTGACAGTTCTGTTGCCGGAAACGGAATCGGTTCAATCATCCTCTTGTTTTATCCCTCTCATTATCTATTTTTACAATCTTCATGCAGAACCGTTCTAGGTACGGCCCGGAGTGCTTATCATCAATTAATTTTGCTATTGTTTCGCTTATTCTCACTCCAGTACTTAATACCAGTTCGTACCTATCTCATGCCCCGGACACTCAAATAAGAGGTGTTGCACCGTTTCGGCCACCTCGGGATCGCACACACACGACGGACTATCTTTTAATTTATTATATACTCTTTATTGCACTGTGAAAATTTACATGGTTATTTTACAAACAGAATTATTGTTCACAATGTCGGGCTTATTTCTAAAACAAATTTCTTCCAGCCAACCCACAGCTGTAGGAGTTAGTGTGTACAGCAGGTAATAATTGTGCAATTAGAGATGCTCTTAATAATAAAATATAAATAAAAACAATTTTAATATAATACATGGTATAACACTTACATAAATATCCGTGATATAATAAATACTATAATAATAAATACATATATACTTATACTACATCTAAATATATAAATGAATACATAATTTAAACCTGTGGAGGTATGCCGCGAATCCACCGTGACCCGTCAGCACTTGTTCCCACCCAGACGTTCTGTTTAGGCACTTCATTGTCCGATATGCACCATGCATAAGGAAGAACATGCGTGTACCCTCCACAATAGCTCCTACGGTGTACCTTCTTTTCCAGCACCGGAGCTTACCCTCTCTCAGTCGTCGTTTGACATGTGAGTTTTTACACCTGTCATAAGCTGGGGCGACCCTCGACTTAGCAGCCAGCCTAGCCAACTCGTCTGACTACGTAGACTGGGATGTTAAACTCTCTAGACTTTTCGAATATTCGTCGAAGAACTAAAATCTGCTCCTTTGTTCCACAACCTTAACAAATCTCGCCTGCTCAATAGCTATTTCGGGATTCAGAACCTCGTAGGCTGGTATTGATAAAATGAAGAAGAACTTTGCTGGGGTGCGTAATTAAAGATAATAATATAATAATAATAAAACTTTATTGAAAAAACACAATGACTATAGGTTAGAGATAATTTATTTCCCATTAAGAACAAAGTTCACTTACATAGGAAACTTAAACTAGTAACAATAATAAACATTTATAAAGTTAATGGTGACCTTATTTATACAAACATTCAAATATAATTATAAAGTTTGACAGTATGTTTTTAATTTAGGCTTAAATTTCAAAAAAGATTTTGTTACTATAATGTTTAGTTCTAGACTTAGGTATTTGTAATTTATGTATATTTCGTGCTTACATAATAGATTAACATATGACACAATTAACCTTCTTAAACTTAATTTAACTATTACAATGTTTTCAATTGGTTGAGGTGCATTATGGTTTTAGCAATTTTAAAATTTTGATTATCTTTGGACCCCACACTAGGAGACCTTTATCGTGGGGCCCGGAAAGATATTAGTCTGTAGTGGCCATATTTCTTCGTTGAACCCTTTTTGTGCAGAGGTATGAACACGGAATGTGCCCAGTCTCGTGGCCATTTTTCTGTCTCCCAGACACGCTTGCAGATAGCATGCATAGTATCAACTCCGTATTCACCCATTGCTTTAAAGAACTCTATTGGAATGGTATCAACTCCTACTGCGTTATTCCTCTTCAAGTGATCTTTTGCGGCTCGAACTACACTTTTCAGGATTGTTAGTCCCATAGCATGCTGTAATAGTGTATTAATGATACACTTTATTTTTATGTTGCTATCACTGAAAAGTTGCGCTCAATATTTCCACCATATTTCCAGAAAGTCTTTGATTTCTGTTAAACTCACTCCATTTTAATCCTCAATGGCCCAGGTTTTCTGTTTAAATTGACGAGCTATGTTTCGAATCTTCTTAAATAAATCTTACGTTTCGTGCCGGTCTGCATTTCTTTCGAATTCCAGGCAGATGTTTTTGATAGTTATTATAATCTTTGTGCGTAGAAGATTGTATCTTTGCACCAACCGAATTCCATTCTTGGTCGTATGCCCCCTTGGTCTTCAACTTATGACGATGTTCTAGGAGATGCCAGGTATATTCTGAGATTCAGTGTTGGCGTTTGACTTTTTTTGATAGAATTTTTTATGTATTCCTTTGCGGATTGCCAGAGTGAGTCGGGGTTATCATCAAGGGCTAGTTACTGCCATGTTCTTATATCCGAATGTGGCCTTATTCGCACACGCAATCCCTTTTTAACATAAAATCCAACACCTCCGCCGCGCACACCACCCGCGATTTATGCTTAAATATATAACCGGGCACCAGAGGCGCAAATTTATCGCCACCTTCTTTAATCCAGGTTTCTTTTATAGCTAATATATCCGGTTTATATCTGTCAATGCTAGCCAAAAGCTTATCCTGTTCTGTGTTCAATGATCGCACAATTAGCAGCCCCAAAGTCAAATTGTAAGCTTAATTAGTAATCATTAGAAATGTTTTTAATATTCACATAATTTTGGTGCAAGCTATATGCAATACAAGTGTCAGTCATACCCCATGCATAATAAATGTACTAACCTCATTAAAATCAGTTCCAAATACAAGCAAATAGTCTGTAAAATTAAACCTTTAACAGTGATAAACAGAATAATAATATAAAAAAAACTTGATTAATTTATTTATTTAACTCCTTTTTGTACACCACAATTACAATACAAACAATTACAAAAAATACAAACTAAAAACTAATGGTAAAACAAAAGGCGGCCTTATGGCCTTTTGGCCATTTCTTCCAGACTACCTAGGGTTAGAGGATTGCGTTTGGAAGACAGTAGGTATAGGGTGGTGCAATATTTAATATTCTTAAAATAAATATAACCCCAAGACATACAAAAATAAATAACAGTAATAAATATTCAATAATATACATACATATATCAATAAATACATACATATATGACGTAATTAAATATTTGTCATAATCATGTCTTCATCATTACTGTGATGAGTTATATAACTTCTTAACGGAGTTTTTAAATGTATGTAAGGTTTTCGACAGGCGAATGCTCAATGGCAAGTCGTTCCAAAGAGTTATAGCCTGAACACTAAACGACTGGCTGTAAAATTTGCTGTTATGAGCAGGCATTTTCAGTATGAGCCTACGTGTTGGTCGAATTCTAGACTGGTCTCCTAAAAATTCAAATTTCTCCTTCAGATAATGAGGAGCATTTGGATTAAATAACACACAGTACAGAAGAGAAAGAGTATGCAGGTTGCAACTTATTATGCAACAACGCTATTTATTTATTTATTTAAGGACCACTAACAGCTACTACATGTTTAAATGCCAAATGTAAAACAATTAAATGGAAATAGGTTACATGTGAAGCTTTTTAAAGTGGCCACAACGATTACAATGTTAGTTTTAGAAATATATTAATACATAATTATAGCGAGATAAAAAAATAATAATAAGTTAAAATTGATACAAATTAAAAACCACAAAAAACAAACATGTTCTTGATTTGATGATTTATTTATTTGCATCCCTCAATAACTCTAGCGCCCGTTTACGAAATGTCTTAGCAGAGTTATTAAAAATACCTAGATCTTGACTTAAAATATTGTATAGCCGAGATGATCTAGACATAGGGGCGTTACTTCCTAATTTAGTTTTTGATATTTTAATATCAAAGGTACCTAGAGAACTGCGAGCATTGCTCCTTGGAATACGATAGTGTATCTCATTAAGTAAGCAGGTACAGTCGACCTCGTTACGAATTAACTTGAAAAGGAATGAAAACACAACAAGCATTCATGGAAAATAATACATCAATTCTAGTGATTTGATGTTTACGTACTAACAGTATCCTTGCCAAAACCACCAACCCGCAAGGTCCGCCTCTGAGCGAATACGATGACGTGTTGACCTCCTCCTTGTTGACAAGTATTTTACCATCACGCGTCAACAAAAATCGCCATTAACATGGATTTAGTTTAGTAAGCCTCTCGTTTACATAGAACTTGCACGGTTTGCCAGCAATAGCACAAAAATGTCACCTTAAAACACTGTATTACGACTAAAATATATCTCCAAGTCTTTTACATTCTAACATGTTTAAATCACAGTCACTTCCCTCTCAATATAGTTGGTGTCTCATTGTCTTTAATATATTATGTCTAGTGTAATCACACACTGATTTATCTTTATTAGGTACCTGGTTCATTGTTAGTTTTCATATAGCACTTGACGTCAGCCGTCATATCCAGATCGATGGATGATTCTCAAATAAATAATAATAATAATAAACGTTTATTAGTTAAAAGATTACACCACTACAAAACAAATAGCAAACAACAAATTAAAAACAGAGTAACACTAATTATGATTTCGACAGTCGATAGATGCAATGAAACCAAAATTATTTGACTTAATTAAAATAATTAAAAGTAAATTACAACTAGGTTTCGACTATGTTGCACAAAGGTTGAACAAATAGTGACAATAAATCTAATGAATTTCTTAAAAGAAATATTATAATCTAAAAACATAAAAGAAATATAAAACCAAAAACTGTCTTCACACGGAACTGCTGAGTCAGACTCGTGTAGAATAGACGAGTTTACCCAGAAGCTAAGGCGTCCTCTGATTACACCGTATAAATATAATTATATTTTAATTAAACGACCACTTATGACACCGTCACATAACACACTTATTCCATGTATACAAAAAAAGGATAATAAAATAACACAACAACTACAACAGGACAAATATTAAGTTAAAAATCAATAACAATAATAATAAGTGTGCAGCAGTGTAATTTAACTAAAAGGAGAACCATTCAGTAAAAAATAGAAGCAATGTTGCTTCTACACTGATTTTCAGTGATCTCCTAATATTGCGGTACTGACAGCGGTAACAATTACATTAAATTAACATTGTTAAATTTTAACATAACGATTATTAAAATAAACACAACATTAAACGTATAATATACGAAGGTGATATCTATCGCGATTGCTAAGCAGGTGTGTGGTTTTTTTAATCAAAATGTACTCAAAACGAACACAATAAAATACAAATTAGTGGCAAAAAATTCATTGTAATATTTTTTTTTAATAAGCGGTTGGACTAGGCAAATATAGGGGAGAGTGGGGTAATTGCGAACACTTAAGGGAGAATTGAAATAGAACAAAACCATACCAAGTTACGAATACTATTTATTGCCAAAAGTTTACTTAAACTAATCAATCTTCTGTTCTCATACTTAACGTAGATATATTTACCCCACAGCACGTGGGGTAATTTCGGATGCGTTGGGGTAATAACGAACGTGGTCTAACTCCTACAAAAATCACAGAGAAAACCCTTTGAAGTGCTTTCACCACTTGTGCAGTTTTCGTGGGCCCACAACCTACATTTGTGACATTCAATCCAGTCTTCACTTGGAGGATCTTCATACTTTTCGGCACAAATCAGACAATCTTCAAATCAGACTTTCTTCTTTTTGCGTGGTACATTCCTCTTTTGCTTCTCAATTTCATAATTCTCATCTGCAAATGCTCTAAGATTTTTCACTCCTTTTTTCCTTTACTTGTATTTACGGTCTTTTCAGTTTCTTTTATCTGCTCTTTATATTTCTTTTTTTGTTCTTTTTCCTCAAGACTGTCTTTCATCGGAGTGCTCGTTGTTACAGTAGAATGTTTTTTTCTGGAAGTTTGTTTACTCTTTTGTTGTGGCATTATGAGAACATTAACAATATTTGTAAGTGGAATGGATTCATTTAAGTTAACCAAAGGTGTGGCTGGTCTTTGCTGCCCAATTGATGTTGGTAATATTTGTGAATCAGGGGTCACTGCTCTTTGTAAAATGCTGGGATCTTCCAGTGATGATGTTGCTGCATCTACAAACTGTTCATCAAATTTAGTTGTATCTATGGGCCAAATACCAGCTGCGCGCAATCCGTTTGCTGCTTTCTCTATATTTCTGATGCGGTTAAAAGCCTTCGTAAAAAGTTCTACGACCTCATACTGTGTAATTTTTCGGCCCACATTTGAAGCCATGTATAAAAAATAAATTAATTACAATTTACACCCATTACTAATTTCTTTCCTTATTTTATTCTTTTTACACATTGTAAAATCTATATTGGAAAAACATTTACTATATTTATCACAGACACGGAAAATAAAAGTATTTTGAGCATATTTGGTATTTGTGATAGGTAAATGAAAAAGGGACTGATGACGTGTATTAATTTTAGAACATCTAAAGCATATATTTTGTAACAGATAGGGTGAATCTACAAAATTTTGAAGTATCATAAATAAAAACAATTGAACTCTCTACGAGTATGTAGAATGTTTAATAAATTTGCGTTGAATTTTCTCTGATTGCATAATATGGCATTTATAAAAGGGATTCCAAGCAGTTGAATGGTATTCGAGGATCGATCTAACAAACGAATTATATAAAAGTACTAGCTGACCCGGCAGACTTCGTACTTTTTTTTTTGTTTTCCCAGGGGAATTCTGCTCACAGATACCCGGCCGAGCGAGGACTTGGCCGGGTTATGTGGGGTTTCGACCCACTAAAACCCCTGGGTGTTCCTCATCCACGCCACCTAGGCAGGGTCACGGTATATCAAGAGCTTGCCTCGCGACCCTGCCGGCAAGGCAGACTCCGTACTGCCTAAATCGATAAATAAAAGACCAAAATTTTTGTATAAAATAATTTTAAAATAAACAAAACGAATCCGTATTTATTAAAAACGCATTTTTTGAATGAAGCATTAAATTTTATTATTTTCAACACATCGTGTTGCTTACTTTACAAAACAGAGTTTTTTTCTGAAATACTGGCTATTTATAAGGTTTTGATATTGAAATTAAATTGATTTCAAGCTTTCTCATAAACTATATTTTTTATTGTTTTGTGGTCCGTAAATAAACAAAGAAGACGGTTTTCAGACGCGCGAACACGCGACGTTGATTGTCCATGCTCGAAACAGGGGAACTCCGAATTGATTCCGCAAACTTCTAATGATTGTCCTTGCGATTTATTTATGGTCATCGCAAAGGCCAGACGTACTGGAAACTGTAAGCGCTTAAAATCGAATGATAAATCCGTTGGAATCATCGGTATCGATCAAGACATTCTCTCTTTTGTATTTTCCTTTTATTATTGTTGCCTCAATGACGTTATTCATCATCTTTTTCACAGCCAGTCTTGTTCCATTGCATAGTCGAGGTTGATTAATGTTACACAGCATGATGACAACTGATCCTACTTTTAACTGCAAATTGTGAGGTAAACCAGGCAATTCCAGTGAATTTAAAAACTCCGTGGGATAGTTGACTACGTCATCCTCATTCATATTGGTGTCGACTGATTTTAAGGAAACCAACTGTCCTGGTAGAAAATTCTGAATTGCATTCAGATCCTCGACGTGTTTATTTTTCGCCGCCAATATTGCGCGTTCAGCCAGCCAATTATGGTTATTGAACTTTTGCGCTATATGTGGGAAAACACGCTGAATAAGATCTTTTGAGTCTGATGTGACAGAAATCGGTGGGTAATGTGATGAATCCGGTCACTGCAACTTTATTATTTCCAATATCTAACAACTGCTTCGCAAACACATTTGCAGTTTCATGTTGTTGCAAAAATACTCGCATGTTAGTTGTTAATTGGAGTCTATTTTGTTTCCGATGCGTCTTGATTCCGTTATGCCTATTATATTATCGTCGAGAAAGGCTGATAAGCAGTATTCTTATTTTCACGGCATTGTCTTATTCTAGAGCACACTCAGTGCAGCCACTCAGTGGAGGAGTGCTGTTTTCGAAAGCCGTAAGAACGTATGACATGACCCCTGTCAAGGCAAGGGGATAGTCGAGCAAGGATGATCCTTTCTCATAAGTTGATTTAGGCTAATTGGACGATAAGATGATACTTCGTGAGTTGGTTTACCAGGCTTGTGGATCATAACAATTTGGGATGTTTTCCAGAGTAAGGACATACAAGGTTCTTAGTGTGGCATTGAAAATGATGGTCAGGAAGACAATGCATTTCTTTAGGAGCTCCTTTAAAACCAAGGATGATCAAGTCAAAACCAGGAGCTTTGTTAGGGTCTAGCAACCTCCCTTGTAGGACTCAATGACTGACATAGTTGCAAATATTGCTATAAGACTTAATCTACTTCTGAATCTTCAGAAATTGAAATACCGTAAGGTTTAAATACCTTGTCTAGGCATGCAGAAAAGGCCTGAGGTTTTTGTGGTAAGCCCAAGTAGTGTCAGATGTCAGATCTAATAGGAGGAGAACTTTACGTTAGCTGTGGGAGGTACTTTGTTGCCTTCCTTGTGGTTAAAGAGAACTTTATTTCCTCATAAAGAACATACTATGTTCACTTAAATGAGATATATTACATAATTTAATTAACAATTTAGTATAGTGGTAACGACTTATACAATTCAAGAGTAGTTAATCTAAGTGCTTTTTACAATTAGTTAATAATCTCTTTCTAAAAATCGTAAAGGTTTTTTCATTAAAAATTTCATTAGGTAAGCTACATATTATATAGTTTCGCTCCCTCAAACTGTATACTTTTAATTCCGTATTTGGTCCTGGTCTTGTGTAATTCAAGTTTGTGTTTATTTCTCGTGCTGTGTTTATATGTTTTAGTTTTAAATGTTATTTGTGTGTGTATTGTTTTTGTAAGTATTTTTCTAATTAATATGCATGTTTTATATTTGTATAACTGGTTAATTGACAATACATTGGTACGTTTATACAATTCTTTAGTTGACATGTAATAATATAGATGGAATAATGTTTTTAGTAATTTATTTTGTGAAATCTGAAGATCCTTTATATTAGTTTTATATGCACTTATCGTAAGAAGATATTTCTGTGGTGTATTATTTGCCAAGATTGGACCAAGGAAGAAATATAAATGTTAAAAGACTCATATGCCTTGAAGATCACCAATAGTTTTACCATATATTATAAGTTTTGAGGGAACAACACTATTTCTATTTTTTTTTTTTTTTTGTACGTTTTCATAAAAGCATCAAAATAGTATTCGTCTTTGGGTTTTTTTTTTATTTATTCATAAAACTAGTTACAATCCTTAAAATTTTAAACTTAATATAAATATGGACTTAATATAAACATGAACTTAGATTGAAACTTTCTGGATATCAACACAGCATGCGTGTAAATATACTCGTATATAAATATCATGTGGTGTACAATCTAAATTTTAAATATCTATAGCGAAATTAGTTATTTATATAAAAATATATACCTAACTAACAATAATAATACAACTGCAATAAAATTAGAGAAAAAAAAACTACTTAGCTAGATATTTACAATGTAACAATTTGTTTCTTAAAAGAAGTACAGAATATATCACACATTTTTTATGATAATTCCAACATGGTTTCTTGTCCAAATAAAGTCATTATTTAAAGCCGTGTTATTACGGTCTTGCTTTAAATCTCTCCACAACTGATTACGTTTTATTATTTCATCAATAATAATAATAATAAATTTAGTCTCTCTTCACAAAATACTTGATACACATCATCTTATATAAATATACATTAGTGTGTGCGTGTGCGTGTGCGTGCGTGTGCGTGTGTGTGATTTTGTTGGTAGAAGAAATGGATATCCAGCAGCAACCTTTAAAAGACATCTTTGCGCTCTTTCTGCCTCAATAAGGTGACTTTTAGCTGCGCCACCCCAAGATGTAATGCAGTATCTTATTAATGAAAGGCCGACAGTATGATACACGGTTTTGATTATACGTCGATTTGCAACTTGGTTTAAATATTTCAAAATATATATTAATTTCTGAAGTCCGGTTACGAGCATTTCAACGTGAGGCTGGAAAGTAAGAGTTTGATCAACAATTGCACCCAGATATCTTATAGTTTCAGTTTTTTTTTTGTTCTTTTTTTTTTAAAGTACACTTACAACATACATATTACAAACATTTATATTAAAATTTAGAAGTTATATTAAAGTCTGATATGTACGTCAATTACAAGTGTACATAGCATTCATTGAGTATGTATATTTATTTTATAAGTAATAATAGTTACAGTTACAGAGCAAATTTAAAACTTGTTTAAATTATTTAATTAATTCAGGATAAATATACAAGTTAAATAAGTTCGTTCAAGAGTTGAGCAAGAACAAGTGACTGATGATTTTGCTAACATATTACATGAATAGGCTGTACTAGTTAATGAAATTGGAGGTAGTAAGTTTCTTTTTGGAGCAAAAGCGACGTACTTGGTTTTATTAACATTAAGGGACATTTTGTTACATCTTAACCAGTGACAGATTTCATTAAAACCGTTCTGGGCACTATGGAAGGTTTCTTCCCATGTTTTCCCTCTGAAGAAGAGAGTGGTGTCATCGGCAAAAGAGAGGAGTGATCCATTATGGAGCTGAAAACGACAAAGATCATTTATGTAAATCAGATTCATCAATAATGTTTTTATTTATCCAGTCTTTTGTCAATTTTGTATTTTGTACTTTATTATTTTGTGGTTCTCAATTTCACTTTTAATATAGTTTTCTAAAACGCTAAAATCGTGATCTTTATTTGAATTTTTTTTCAGACATATCTTTGTAAAGTAAGTTGTAACTAATTGCCTATATTTCTTCTTCGGTTCTTTTTTATATCTTTTTAAGTCACAATAAATCTGCTTGTGGTCTGATAGTGGAGAGTCAATTATAGCCAAATGAAAATCATTATTAATATTTGTAGATATATAATCAATAATTGTTTTAGTTGTCGGCGTTTCTCGAGTGCAGGAGTCACTATCTATTTTATTTAGTATTTCATATTCAGTTTGTTGTAAAATATATTTATATTTTTTAGTGAGTTTGTCATTATTCATTAAAGGAGATTGTCCACTTAGTATGGGGACTTTGGCCTGACGTGAACAGACATTTTATCATATTTTTTGGAATTAGTTTAAAAGCACTAACTATTAATAATGAAAATATGAACTTAATTTTGTATCAAAATGTTTAAAAAGAGATTTTTGTCATGTGAGGAAAAACAGGTTAATTTATTTTTATTCTGAGACATCATATGTTATTAATATGTGTTCAAGAAATTGGACAGGTGGTGAAATGTGTTCCTGATACCTTGCCCAACTTAAAAACCATAAAATAGTCATTATATGAGCACAGCAACCCACTGTCCTTCAGCCAACCATGCAATTACAATAATATTCTTTTAAAGCTTCCTTACCATTGTGATTATATTCTTATAATATATATATAAAATATATTTTTCGACTTACATGCCTGCTTTGTATTTTTCCATGCAATAATCTGCAGTTGGCCAAAGGAATCGGGTAGTCAACCAATAGGTTGCTGGCTATATTTTTACATACTTCTATAGTAAAGGAACCATCGCCTCTTATGTGCTGCCCATAACACAAACAAGCTTGTTTTAGTTGGTATGTTCCACATGCAATTAATATAAGATCATTCTATTCTATTCTTGTAAATATGAAACTGTCCATGTTTACATTTATAGGTTGATCTGCCCGCCTTCTATTTAAATTATTTTCGATAACAAAGTCAGCTAATGTGTTAGGAGTAAACATCTTTTCATTTATTATAATACAACAGTATATAAGGATTATAATTATATAAAACAATAAAACCTCATTTTGCATTATAGGAATAGCATATACAATACATATCTATTAAAAAACTAGTAATTTAAATAATTAATTGAATTGACACTTACTCGTCGAGGAGCTATCCACTGTCTTATAATAGACTGAACCTGATTAAGATCTAGACTATGTCTCCTTCGCTCTATCAAATCAGTTCCACAGTTTATGCATCTCAGAGATACGGATTGGTAGGAAGTCACTTCTTCTGTGTGCAGACTATCATGAGACACGTTTTGGTTTTGTTCAATGTCCATATTAAAGCCGTGATTAGCGATGGAGCTAGTTTCGGGGTCCATATTACGTGAGTGTTGGTCATCGTTTATGCCTTGGTCTGAGTCCATAATACAAAAGCCAGGGTCATCGTTTGAGCGAAATTCGGGGTCCGTAGATGTGCAGGGGTCATTGGAAAAAGATAGGTCGGAGTCCATAATGAATAAACAATCGTTGAAAGAATCCATAATAAATCAACACTCAATGTAGGTAAACAAAGCAAATGTAAGCAATCAGTCTGTGACATATCAATGTCAATTTGTATTTTTTGTTTTATTAGTGTTGCAATAGAAAAAAATCATTAAATAATCGATCGAAAACAGATATGATTACGTTTAACATTCTTCATATTTCAGTTTATTAAACGTTTTAAATGACGAAACTAATTAAAAACAAATATTACTATTTTTTTGTATTAAATACATATAGTTGTATTAAGTACTGCGAGATGATTCGATTTGACGCAATCGTTAATTGATCTTGCTGGTAACACAAAACGTGGATCAATAAAGCAAATCAATGAAGATACTTTAAAAATATTTTTTAATAAAATACAAATGTACACTCAAACAACAATAGAATGGCTAGCTAAAAAAAATATTTTTTTTTTTCATAAACTTGTATTTTTGATAGCAGCTTGTTTACGCTAGGCCAAAAATGGACATGGCCCTTTATGTTGAAGTCGCCAAATATTATCGATCTCTTTCTATTTTCTAATTGTCCGCAGTAAGTCAGTAAAAAGGTATCAGTATTTGTTGCTGGAGGTTTATATATAAGCCCAATATGTATAGCGTACTTTTCTAGATAACTCCGTAAATAGTTATCAACGTATATTTCTTCTGTAATGGTGAGGTTAGATCGTTGTGTACGTAAATTGATACTCCTCCACCTATGCTATCAGTCCTAATAATAATAATAATAATATTTATTTGCTCTGAATGTAGGTGCAGAATATAGGTGTACAAATAGATTTTAGTATAAGTTCCAGTACATTCTACCTTAAGGCATGCATCAATATTAGGCTTCAATTATAAATTAAAATTAACTATTAAATTAAAATTAGAAATTAAATTAACAATGCAATTATAGTTATAAATTCATATTAAATGTTTTACAGATGAAAATTAACAATGATAGATAGATACATGATTAAGTTATATATTTTATACATTTTTTTATTCATCAATTTCTTACAATATTATGTCTTGTCCATTAGATAATCATTTACGGAGTCATAACACTTGTTGACTAGTAAGGAAACAAAAGTTTTTTAAATTTTTCATAAGTTAAGTCTTTTATTTCGTTCGGTATTTTGTTGTATATAATAGGGGCCATGGTCAATATGTTCCTTCTCAATAAAGCAGTTTTGTAATTGCCTGTACATAAAAGATTATGATACTGAGACCTTAGATTTATGGCGCGATTTCTCTTTTCTCTTAATGAAGGGAAAGATTACAAACATGTGTATAATTCGGTATTTTAAGGGTGCATGCATCTTTCTCTGATTTTATCCAAGTTCCTGTTAAGAGTATTAAGTGTAACGTATGTTTAAAAGATGTAATATTGCATTTCAATTCATCAATTTTACTTTCTTTTATTAAACTTCTCACATTTCCATAGAAAAATTTCAAAAAATTTGCCTTAGGTTGTTGGTTCCTTTAGCATTTGGAGACATTGCTAATCGTTTTGTAAACAATGCGTTTATGGCTTGATTCAGTAGAGATTTGAGTTCTTTAATTGCTCGATTAACCTGGTTTTATCTGCACTTCTATAGGTTAATAAGTTGTAAATAATTTTTCACTTGATTAAAAATAAAACGTCAATAGATAAAATAGTAGCCATTGTCGTTTACAGACTCAAAACTTTTAAGGTTTCTCAAAATTACAAGCAGTAATAAGTTTTGTTCTAACTATTAAATGAGGAAGTAGAAATAAGAACAGTTACATTTAAAAATAATTATATTTCCATACATGCAACTTACGAGATATAAGAAATATTACAATATCAATCAACAGTTTCTCCAGTTATCCGTGTAACAAGGCAGACTGTTGATGTCAGCTGTCTGCATTCCTTCCTGCCGGCCGTCAGAGTCCACGCAGTAGCAGCTGCCCCTACGACACTGTATGGGACGGAAGTTACCGTTGGAGCAACAGTGAGGACGCTCCGACGAACTCAACAGAGACGATGATATCGCGCATTCTGATAGAAAACAACAGAATTATAATATGAATATTAAAAGACATTTATTTCATTATAATTTTATTACACTCACTGCAGTCCATCTCATCATATTGGGGCGTATTTATTTTAGCTTCGTAATTTCCAATCCGGACACTCCGTTCGTTAATACATACTTTTCTATAAAAATAAAATTAATTCAAAGATACAATTTGAAGGTTTTTCAATGAGAGAGAATAGGAATGATGATAGTGAAATGCTATCTCTACTAATATTATAAATGCGAAAGTACCTCTGTCTGTCTGTTTGTTACGCTTTCACGCCTAAACCATTGAAATGATTTTAATGAAATTCGGTACAGAGATAGAGTTGACCTTGAGAAAGAACATAGGATAGTTTTTATCCCAGATTTTTGAAAGGTTCTCTTGGAAACGCGATATAACCGAACTCCACGCGGGCGAAACTCGGAAAGCTAGTCTCTATATACAAAAGCTAGTTTTAATGACAAAAAACATGTGAGATTTAAAGACTTAGTCTTAAATAATGCACTTACGTCCCGTTAGCATTTATCAAAGTCCGCCCGAAGGTCCCGTCAGGTAAACAGTTAATGGAAGTGAATGTTGAGAAATAGTCAACATTGTAACCATCTTTTTTACTTTGGCCTATCAATTGCCGTCTTTCCTCAACACTGTCGTAGCATGGCGTCGTGTATTGAAACGGACGCTGGGATATATTTCTCGGTCGAAATAGATCTAAATCAGCTTCATCTGAAAATTGAAAATACATTTTTTTGGTCTCAAAGAAAACGAGTTAACCATATTTTTCCAACTGCTAATTATAGACTCAGATTTATATTATTAAGTTCGTGAAGAAGGTATTTCGTGAACTGTACTAGTTAAAAAACTTTAGTAGAGAACACAGGGCTTTCTTATAGAGTTACATTTGAGGACATTTTAATTGACTATCAATATCGAAAACTTTTACGAGTATTCATTCAAATGAAAATTACATTTTTCGAATTACTACGCATTACTTAATTATTTTATAAACAATATACTCCCGACGTTTCGGTTATTTTTCAGCAATAAACGAGATGTGAATGAATTATTTAATGAAATTATAATAATTTATGAAATGTTTACGTAATAATTCTTACAACATGGCAAATCAGTAATCCCCTGCTCATCCAAATCCACAACATCCGTGCCAGTCTTGATTCCCGTTATTTTATCAACACAGTGACATTTTCTATCAAAACATTGTACTGGATTGAAGTTGCCATCTGAAGTACACCGATAACTTACAACCGGGAAAGGTACACTAGTTGAAATGGTTTTACGAATTTTGTGGAACAATCTCGAACATGCTGTAAATGAAACATATGTTTATGTTATACATATATGCATTTATTGTATTGAAATAAATGCTTTAAAATTTATACTTGGTTTAGTTTAATAACTTAGTTTAATTTTATTTATTTATTAAGTTGAAATACTCAATGAATTAATACAAGTACATACATACATCGAGTGTTGGAGAGATTGTTTCAGTGTGTTAGAGTGTATATATGTGTGTGTGTGTGTGTGTATTAATGTGAGTGCCTACCTATAATAAGTTATGTAATTAGAGTGATAATCCATCACTGTTGAAGAACAGGGTTATAAATTGAAAATTAAGAGATTTTCGGTATCTTCATAGTCCAATGTTTTTAACCATTTGTTTGCTTTTTGTTTGCAAGCCGATTTATTTAATGAATATATTCATAAATAAAATAAAAGAACACTACCCAGAAAGCAATAAAATCTGTTGGAAAGCTTTAAGTGGAAGGTTTCAGTTCGACAGACATTGCCTTTCCTACATTTATCCTTATCTAATATTCGTTGATAAACTGTTTGTGAGTGTTTTTTAAGAATTATGTTCAGTATAAAAGTTTGTCTAATAGTCAAAATGTCCCAGGTTTTATATAAAGCTTTTGTTGGTAGGAGAAATGGAAGTCCAGCAGCAACCTTTAAAAGCCTCTTTCTGCCTCAATAAGGTGACTTTTAGCTGCGCCACCTCAAGATGTAATACGCAATACGATTTTTGTGAGATGATAGTAGATAGCCTAATTGATAAATATTTGAATTTTACTATGTATATATGTATATATTTTATATACTTGAATTGTCCCATTATAAAAAATAATTTATGTGAGTATATCATATACGAGTATATAAAGCATTTTTGTTTAAAATTTAATCTAATGTAATTTGAATTCGGATTCAATGTCATTAGAAGTAAGTCGTGTTGATCAACCGTCTTATCAAAAACGTTTCTAAAATATTCCTATGTTGTTATAAAGAAAATGGTTTTTGTTGAAAATAGTAAAATTGGTGGGCAGGAAAAATATTTTCTTACTGCAAGGCATCGATACGCTTCCAGTGTTAGCAACTTCACCGAAAATCCTCTCGCCGTCTTCGGATTGACAGAAACATCTGAAAATAAGTATTTTATATTCAATTTAAAAATCATTAAAGAACTTTATGCATTGCAAGTAATAGTTAAATATGTTTGTTTAGTATTATTATATAATACAAAGTTCAGGTGTAAATAAAATGAAAAATGGAATAAAAATCGTATGTCAATAATTTAAGATTTAGAGTCCACAAAAATAGCGGCATTTTAAATGTAATATTTTCAATAAAAGAGGATGTGAGTCTTGTAAATGTATTTCGTTTTATAAACTAGCTTTAACCATAGCTCAAAGAACAAATGTGCACTGCAACGCCTTCTATCTTTTGTGTAACGAGGTTGTATACACTGTAAATTATTTTGAACCTAAATGTTTTTCTTATTTATTACAACCTATATTATCTTAAGGATTTATTGAATTCGATATGGAATTTTTCAAGCAGCTAAATGAACGCCTACAGAAAATTTTCCTCTATACATTCTACAGCTTTTTATGTATAATAAGGATACAATTTTTTATTCGCATTATACTAGCAATAAGAACCCATTATATGGAAAAATAAAGTATTCTCTTACGTCTGTGAAGGTACGCAGACGTTGGATAAGAAGTTTCCTTTAGCATCACACTCTGGTCGAACTTCCATATAGCCCGTCTGAGAACGGGCTTGTCGAGCGTCGTAATCATCTTGGGCGTCATGGCATTTCGTCTTCACTGGGAATAACATTGATATATTTGTTCTTAGTTTATGTCGAAAAAAAAAATCGACGAGTCAAAACATCGGGGGTTGTGTAATAATAGTAAATCCTTATGAAAAATTTCAAACAAAAAATTGTATTGTACGTACATAGAGACAACATGGTATTATATACTATTTGATATCTACATATTAAAACTTATTGTTTTACTGTCCAAATTATAATTAATTTTCATTATTTTATCCATTACTAGCTGACCCGGCGAACTTTGTACCGCCCTATAATCAAGAAATATCTGTTAAACTACAAATTATCCTGTAGAAACCAATGTGAAAATTACACTAAGAAATGGTAAATGAATTAATTAGGTATTTTGTTATTATAACTCCGGTCACATACCAATTCTGACAGATATACTTGCAAAGAGCATGTAAATTTGTTTAAATTTTTTCTTTGCTTTAATGGCAACTAGATGAATTATTTTATTCAAAAAATGAAATATTATAGTAATTTTCGTAATTATTTCTTACATAAGAATCTTCTCTTAATAACAAATACAATAAAAAAAGAATTAGTGGAATCGGTCCAGCCATTCACGTGATGTCGTGACCAAGGGAAAAAGGGATTCATTTTTATATATAAAGATTAGCAGTAGAATATCCTACTAATATTATAATTGCGAAAGTTTGTGCGTGTGTGTGTATGTTTGTTACTTCTTCACGCTCAAACTTCTGATCCGATTTTGATAAAATTTTGTATACAGGAAGCTGACGTTCAGGAATAACATATAGGCTACTTTACATCCCGGAAATCCGCGGGTAACACCGCGGGGCGCAGCTAGTATCAATATAAAATCTCTTTAAATTCAAATTGTTTAATCAACTTACTTCGTACGCACACTCTAGTTGTGCTATCACAGGTAAGGCCTTCCCCACATCTGCCAACAGTGATGCCTGTCCCAGGTCCACCGATACTGCACGGAGCTCCTTTATCTGAAAGGTTTTTTAAATAAAGTTGATACAAACTAATACTGTATAATAAATATGTATTTTTTTGAAATAAAACTGATATTTTTCGGATTAACTACGAGTTTACTTTCGGTTACTTTCGAGCAACCGTAATCACGGACAGACAAATAATAGTCCCGAAAATCTTAGATCTCAATATCTATAATAATCATTACTTTCATTTTTCTGAAAGTTTTTCTATTTATTTTATGGTCTTTAGTTTTAGTCCACGGTTTTGATACTAAACGTACAAACCAATTAGCTGTTGATTCCCACAAAATCACAAGTCTGTCATAATTTTTCTTCCCATGACTATATTATTCTTTATATATAAATAATTATAATTTTATTTTTTTGCAATGTGTCACTTACTGTATATATGTAGCTTTTAAAAAGATTTTAAATTTTAAAACAATTCTAATAGGCATAGTAACTCATAAAGCATTTCGATCTAGCGTTAATACTTACATAACAAAAAATTTAGAATCTATGAATCAATTTTATATCGTCATTTATATTCCATGGTGCAAATATAAGGAAATATTTTGCTGTTGATTTAAATAGGTATACGTACTATACATTGGTAGGCAGAATTTGCAGCAGTTGCATATTGTGGGTGAAGGTAGCCAGACCCCAGAATGTGTCCCATTGTTCAAATCGCAATCTGGAGCAGGGTCTGCGCAGGGATTTTGTCTAATATGACGCTGATAAACAAATTACATTAAAAACTGACCACTGTTATGTTGCTTTTTTGGCCCTAGTCGTCGTAAAAATATTTATTTTTCACTTCATATGTTATTAAGAGTAATTTTTTAAGTCCAAAATTCTTTGGAAGTGAATTTTGATCGTAAATTATTTGGAATGCAGTTCATTATACACATTAACAAATATATGTTTAGTATAAAGTGTACAGTTACTATATGTACGTAAAGTTAAAAGTTTCTCATTGAAGTGTTTGTATAGTTTTATGAATAGAAAACTCAAAACTCTCCGTAGTTAGTGTGATTGAAAACTTACACTTAAGCTACATTTTTGATCATTACCTCAATCAGTTTGAAAGTGTTTATCAAACCTATTTGAAACTTTATATTCTTCTACATTTTTTACCCGCATTATAATAAGAAATCTCAAACCCACCTGTATTAAATTAAAATTGAAAACACTTATTTTAATTTAAACATTAACAAAGTGAAGCTTTATTACGATATAAATTATTTTAACAATAAAAAACTATATTTATAGAAGAACAACAATGAGAAGTTATGTTTTTTTGTCGCAATTTCAATGACGACAGATATATTTGAGAAATTGGAACAAAAAGACGTATTTCAATTGTATTTATCGCATTTACATTACACCAATAAAATAAATTTTCAACTTACCCCACAGAAACCATTCTCACACAGTATATCACTATTAACTTTCACAATAAACAACGCTAAACAAAACAAAACTGAATTGACAGCCATCTTGTACATTTTGAGTACTGCACTGATTTTGCTATCAGAAATTCAATTATCAGTTATATTGTTCATAGATATCAAAATTACTAGAAAATACTTTAATCATTTCGATTATTATCGTGTTTGTAAAGATAGAGGATATAATGAGTCCGAAATATTGCATTTTTAAATAGCTTGGGACAATTGCGCCATAAATTCAGTAGGATAGGTGGTATAAGTATCTGAGTAGTTTTAAATATTTTTTACAGTTATAGCTTACATATATCGTTTGTTGAATCACAACGGGCTTTAAAGTTTTACAAGTTACAGAGGAAAAGTGAAATACGCTCAAAAATAACGTCTTTTAGCAACAGGCTCCTTTGGAGATGACAGAACTGTTTAAATCCACTTCAAGCAATTTGAGATGGTGAAAAATCTATAATTAAAGTATTTTAAATCCTATCAAGTATCTGTAAAGATAATGTATCTTGTATTATATTTTGAAAAAATCGACTTTAGATTACTCCCTTACAAAAAGCCAATTTCATATGTTAGAAACTTATTCTTAAAAACAATAATAATAACAGAAAAATGTAAAAGAATCTTATTTCACATTATATGATTTTAAAGATTGTTTTGCCAATTTTATAAAATTTACTTACAAGTCAGACCTGCCGTAAGACCACAGCTAGGCTCTTCAACCTACAAAACAGTTACTGAGGTATTTTCGCATATGTTATTTACCTCAAACCTATTTGACAGTTTGCTTTTATCCACAATTACCAGTACAAATTACTGATAGCCAGAACAAATACTCAAATAAACATTAAATATCACTAATTAGTAGTAAGTTCTCTTCAAAACATTATACACAATTTGATTGGACACTACGTAGTCATAGACTATAGTTGAGAATAGACTGCCTTGCAAACACGTCATTAGACTATAGTTTTCAAACTACCTTCTAAGTTTTAATAATATTTGTAACGGTAAGGGCCTAGTTTCCATGGAAGTAATACTCTTCTGTCTATAGATATTATAAAACAAAAACTATTTATAAATTTTTGTGTGTTACTAAAACTTATTTAGATTTCATTATTATTATTATTCAACTATCTCCATCGCTGGTCTCTTCCTCCTGGCAATTTCCCAGCTTAAGACAGGGTCTGCCTTACATGTTGTGAATAGTTTTGGCGAATTGTTTTTACGAGCGGCCGCCTATATGACATCCACCTCCTTTGGGAATGCATTAATCAGTGATGACTAAATACTCTTAGAAAGTACATATGACTCGGAAAAATCCCATTGGTACTTGCCAGGATCGAACCCGCGGCCTCGTGCATGAGAAGCGAGCCTTTTAACCACTAGGCCACCACTAACTCCTTTATACACTTGTCTATGTTCCTATAATACTTTATTGAATCATATTAATAATAACTTTATGTCTTCTGATAAATTTTAAAAGTAGGTGTCATATTATATACGTTATAAAACACAAAATATTCGTCTGTGATGGAAATTACTTCTATTTAATAAAAGTGTGAATATGAATTATGTTCCATTTTCATTTTTATTAATATATACCCAAGTTACAATCTTTGTTTATGTGTGAACTAATAATTACAAAAACATTTAGATTCCTAGAATTTTTCAACTTTATTACGCGTCCAAATTAATAATCTACCAGGCATTGTAAGTGCCAAAAAAGTATGAAAAGTTCTACGTTTAGTAATGTGTTGATTAATAGATAGGAGCCCCTTAAACCTACACCTGGGTCACAAGTCCCAGTCACTGTTGAAGTTCCTCTCACTACAACGATGGACCTGACACACGCACCGTGAATACATGGAATGATGAGAGGTTTCGTCTCTCTATATATATTAAACCTACACCTGGGTCACAAGTCCCAGTCACTGTTGAAGCTCCTCTCACTACAACGATGGACCTGACACACGCACCGTGAATACATGGAATGATGAGAGGTTTCGTCTCTGTGTAACATGATTATAGTAACATATATTAAAAAGGTTTTGGACTTGAAATAACAATCACCATTTTTATTTTCGATTTCAATATAAACTATACATAAATAAATCAACTGCCAATACACTTTTATTATAGATACTTTCGGAATAATAATTTTTATTTCAAATGTAAAGGTAATTATAGTCCCACACAATAGGAATAAAAATTCTCGTCTGCCAATGATCACGGTCGCTGCAAAAGTGACTGAAACGTCAGTCAGTCAGAGTATGTAATATAAAATAATAATAAATATTAGTTTAAAAAAACTAATAAAGACGATTGTAATTAATATTTATTTTATAATATTTATTTTATACTAGCTTTCCGCCCGCAGCTTCGCCCGCATGGAGTTCAGTTATATCGCGTTTCCAAGAGAACCTTACAAAGTGTGGGATAAAAACTATCCTATGTTCTTTCTCAAGGTCAACTCCGTCTCTGTACCAAATTTCATTAAAATCAGTTCAGTGGTTTAGATGTGAAAGCGTAACAGACAGACAGACAAACAGAAAGAGTTACTTTCACATTTATAATATTAGTAGGGATTTTTTAGTACGATTTATCAATTCGTTTTTTGTGGAGATGCGCAGATCGCACACTAGCTCTGTCCCTTTCACTCTCATAAAGGATCTATGAAAAGAATATATTAATCCTGGCGGCCCTAACAAGGATAATGGGAAATTGTTGACGAATTATTGCATTGTCATTGGTCCTTGAGACATATGCAAAGTTTCAAGTTAATCAGATGTTTAGAAACTAATAAAAATCATGCTCAAAGATTCCGTTACATACATACAGCCTTAGCTAAAATAAGCGTGTTAAAAAAAAAACCGTAGTAATCCGATAATATTAATTTCATATAAATGAATAGTCTGGACAATATGAGATCTCATAAAATAAAAATTATTTAAAGACTAATTCAAATAATTTCCCTAGTTAAAACTTTTTCAGAAAGTTACTTAGCTTGATCATTTGAATTGTAATTAATGATTAATCTTGAACGCCTTGTAGGAAGTTTACAATCAATCAGAGTAATAATATTTTTAGTATTACCAAAAAAAAAAACAATTTGATTTTGTAAAAACCAAACTTAGTATAGCTTGCAGTGACTTAACATTCGTAAGATTTATTATAAAATATAATAATAGATTTATTTGTCAGACTAATATTAATAAAAGCCTTAATTAAATATTTTTTCCATACAATTGTCCTCTTTAATTTATAACATCTCTTTACTTAGACTTCGTTGTCTTTTTTGATAACTTTCAGAATAATTATACTATCAATTTCAGAATACCTGGAATACCAGCCAGAATAACAACTCGCAATCCATCAATCAACTAAACTTTCCCGATGGAAGCAGCTTACCCAGAAACTGGAGTCATGATTCTGAATAGAGAGAGATTAAGAAGACATTAATAGACGATTTTCAATTATCTTCTGTTGAGACGTACCTGAATAACTAAAGTTTTCATATTATTTAACCATAAAGATACATAGAATCCTTTTTATTTTGATTTAAGATAAGTTTTTGAGATATTTATAATTGAATACGAAGCAAACTGTATACTTTTTTTGAAGTCAAAAATATTCTATACATAAGCGTTATTTGAGTTATTTTTTTCGGTATTAATCATTTACAGATTTTTTTATTAACTTTGTTTAACGATTTTAATAATTTTGATGAGGTAAGTTGGCGTAATTTAATTCTCCCCAGTGTTTTAACTACGCTTTAATGCACCAGGTGCGAGCTTCCAAAACTGCGCCCCTAAAAATGCTCTAACCAGGCTCTAAAAATAAAATGGACAAATGTACATACCAATACATCTATCTATTTGTTGTTTACCAAAGTAACAAAGTGTATAGGTATATAGCTAACATGTATGAGATAAAACTAGATACTAGTCTGGTCATTTCTGCGCCCCTCCAGAGTCTACGCCCTGTGCCTGGGCACTGCTGGCACCGTCCTAGTTACGGCACAGTTCTCCCTCAATATAATACCCACCCAATATTACATTTGTGTTCAATTTTTCTATTAGTGTATTTTATTATATAAAATATAACAGTAATATTTTTTGTTTGAGGTTTTTGACGCTGTACTGGAATAAATGTGTTGTCCAATGGATTGCCACAATGTGGAACTATTTTTTTTTTTCTTATAAAATTTTAATCTATAAATGAGATAATATAATTTTTATTGAATTAGATAAATATATCGATAACCCGTTATAATTTATCTAAAACAGACTGATTTCATCCGTATTAAACATTCTGCAACTCTCAACTGAATAAACTTTAAATTATTGCAATTTTCACATCAACTTCTACAAAAATTAGCCAATTTTTTTCTTATAATTAAAAAATCTAATAAATTAAACGCTTGATTGACAGACAAGATCTTTATTTGAAAAAACGAAAACCCATACTTTAAACTAGACTTACATACTTTAAACTAGATGGCGCTACTAGTTCGTAATGAGTGATATTCGATACAAAATAGACATAAAATAACAAAATACCTTAATAATAGCCTTATATGTTTTCGTTATATCCAAATATAATACTCATACATGTTTTATTCAATGAAATATTAAGAAATAATTAAAAGTGAGACAGCATACAGCCGTTATCGTTCTTATCTTATCACTGATAAGAAATGTAAAGAACAGGTTGAGACTTTGTGAAGTAGCTAGAGATCACTTTGAGGACATAATTAAAATTTTAACCAACTACGAATAAGGGTATACATGACTTAATTATGTATATATATATATATATATATATATATATATATATAGGATTGGACCAAATGGTCAAAAAGATAGATTGTTAAACTAAGATATGTACTTATATTGTATAGAGGTACATAAACCTTAGTCTTGGTCTATTTGCTTCTATAATTCAAAATAATCGATACGCAATATTTAGTCATACAAAAATATATTGTTATTTATATGATAACTATGAACAGATTTTAAACTTAATTTTTTTGTTTAAATTTTAAT